ACTATTTTAAGCTAAAACCTAATTAGCCTATTTTTAGTTTAAGCTTAAAGAATAGATTTTGTAAATAATTCATGTTTATAACTATTAAACAAACTGCATTGACCAAATTTCTTTTTTTTTCAGGTACAGTTCATTACAATCAAGAAGTACCAGAGACTGAATATTTTTGACTTAACATTCCATTTAAAAATAATTTTTGGATCTCTAATAATTTATTTACGGTTAAAAAATATTTATTTTTGTTGGTGGTTTTCAATAAAATTGTTATAAACATTTAATTTACTTTATTTATGTTCCATGTTTTACTTCATCTATGTAACCATATTTTCAGCAATCTAAAAAAAATGTTTATGATTAACTGAAGAAAAAATACACTAAAAATTTTGTTCTATGATTTGAGGAATAGTATATTTCATTACTAGTATCAAAAGTAGCATTTCCCGGTGCACGCTTATTTTTACAATCTAATTTTTTCATAACTTGTTTTTATTCAAAGGTTTCATTAAAACAACACTAAGAACCTTTACACGCACCTTGGTATGTCTCAAATAAAGTTATACTCATACAACAAGAAACAAAATTACCTTCCATCAGGGAAAAGAAATAAAAAAGTAAAAAAATTATAAAACCATCCATATTTTTGGATGTAAACCTTCATACCATCAAAGCAGATCAAAGCAACTATCAAATTTACAAAATTAATATTTCTTATTCACAGCTGTTTTTTCCAGATTTAATCTGTTAAACAAAACCTGAATAATAGATTAGGCATTAAATTTTACATGTGATGCATGTTCATATTCTTACATCCAATCAAATGTTTTTATTGTTGCTAAACATGCTTCATAGTTACATTGGAATCCTGCCCTTTACTTTTATTTACAAACAATGTAGTTTTGCTTTTCAAAATAGTATGTTTAAATTAGGTTAGTTTTAAATCACCTTTGATATTACTAGTTGCTTTGCTACTAGAGTATTAAAATGAAGTAAATAAATGAATCTGAGAGCTCAATGGGGAAAAGTTGTATGAAATGGTGAAGCAAAGCAACATCAAAAAGAAAATAGCCTCATTTCTATGTATTGTGCTTACTACAGTGTTGAAATATTGTTTACATTTTCTTGATTTTATTTCAAACCAAATAAAAACCATTGTGAATCAACAGCCAAGTTACAAAGACATTACGACTCAGACAGAAAATTCACAAGAGTTAATGGATTTGATAACTCACCATTTTGGTGCCATCCATGAAGAAAATTACATAAAGAATATATTGTATAGAAACCAATGGAATAAAATGAATAGTGAGTTAGACTTTATTAAGGAACAGTTAAGTTTGCAGTGCGATAGTTTAAACTCGTTAAGAAGTGAGCTAAATAATGTGGTGACAAGTATTAAAGATTTATCGCTAGTGTTTTCGAACAATGCCAAATCTATTCCGTCGGTTCCGGTCTCGGGAGGAAAGAATTTCATTCCTACACCGCCACCTCTACCACCTCCTGGTTTTATCTCTTCCAATAGTTCTTGTGTAAGAATAGGAAAGTCTTCAAAGAAGGCAATTTTTGATAAAAACTCTCCACCTCGTCCGATTATTACTGTCGAAAATTTAAAAGGAGTAAAACTAAAAAAAGTTCCACTGCCAGAAAAATCAAAAGATGCGGAAGCCAAGGAAGTGTTTCCGATCCAAGTAAAAAAACTCAGACAACTTAATAGTACAAGGCCTAAAACTGGAGAAAAGTGTAAAAAACAAAAAAACAATTTAACAATCGGTCCCCGGCGCCCTTTGACCTCAGATACTTAAGTTAATATTGATAAAAGAATAAATTCTAGATATCTATAGAAAAAATTCTGTTTCGCCTCGCTTGAAGATTGTAATGAACCATCAGAACTCAAGTTAAGTAGGGTAGTTGTAGTTGTAGACTTTAACTAAATCTTTGGGCTGTGTACTCTCACTGTGGAAAGAAGATTGTTGTCGAACGAATTAAAGTTTCAACTTGTAAGTCTAATACCTACTAAGCATTTCTTAAACAATTTTCCCAAACTTTCAATTTTCAAAATGTTGTCATTAGTCAATGGTATGGATTAATAAAAAAATGAATAAAGACGCATTTGGTAATTTGTGATAATCTACAAATTTATTGGTTAATCAGTGAATTTACTTAATATTCTATGCATTGAGTCAACACCTTGTCAATCTTGTCATACAGCCTGTTTTATATAATTCTATTCTGTGTAGCTTACTATAAGCCAATTTCCATTGGATTTTAGCTACGGGATGATTGAATATATAACGTATGAATGCAAAGGCCTAATGGTGAGCATTTTGAGTTTTTGTTGACTAACCGACTGTACTTATAACAATTCCAATTAAAAAGTCAAATGCTTTCCTCCAGGAGAAAGAAAATATTGTACAATATTTTTGCTTTATTCGTCTTTTCTTTTACAGAAGACTTCCTCTCATTTGAACACTTGTTTGAATTTAAAATGTCTGAACCATAAGAAATTGAAAATTAAAATAGAAAACTGCTTTTAATATCTGCACTATACTAATACAGCAATAATATTTATTCATTCCAAACAGTGAGTGATATACTGAAAGTTTCTAAATTTTTTTGTTTTCTTTACCAAAATAAAAGATGTGTTTGCGTTAGGGGTGTGCGAAGCAGCAAAAAATTTTCGATTCGAAGCAACGATTCGATTCAAAAGATTTTCGATTCGATTCGATGCAACTCGATTCGAAGCAATACGGTATTTTTCTATTCATAATTGTCAATTGAGTGGATTAACAATAATTAAAATTTATCTCATTTGTGTAATACAAATTTTTGTTGATGTGGTATTAGGCCTATTCATACTTACATATGAATTTTAGGTGAAAAAATATTTATTTTCAATCATATGTATTAGAATAACTGCTGGAAATACCAGTGAGCTGCTTTACTTGCCTATTTCATAATTTTTACTTGGAATTGGCTCAACTGCAAGAAAGAAGAAAATATTTTTTTTATCAAGACACTCATTCTCATTTTAATAACTGTTTAAATAACTAAATAGGTACCGGTAGCTAAATTACAACAAATTTGAATGGAACTTAATATAAAAAGACCATTAAGAAATAAATTTACATATCACAAGTTTAGGGCCTGTGGACCGGCTTCAGGACTGCAAGCAAGAAGAAAATAAAAATAATATGTTTCCACCATGCAACATGTATCATTCATTCCCTGCCTCCTAACCTCCTTAGTATAATAACCTCACACTTACATTATTTGTTACATCATCATAAATAAAGAATTATTATTGGCATCAGTAGGCCTACAGCTTTACATAGGCATTATTTTTATAGGGCCTAAAATAGTAATAGGCTAGAAGCAACATGTCAAGTAGAGAACTCATTGAAGAAAAGATATTGTGTAAACTAATTTCCTATAAAACTCAAAAACAGTAAATAACATACAAACATTGTTTATGGTATAATTAATAAGGACTAAAAAATGCATATAATGTCATACAGTAGTATAGACCTACCGGTACTGCAAGAGATTAAAATCCTAAAACAACTGATTTTGATAGCTAATGAATGAAAAGAATTAAAAATCCATAAAATGAAGCTAAACAATATCACAACTAATTAGGTACCCGAAAAGTAACTCTTAAATAATATATAGAAGATTAAAATAATATTAAATCAAGAGACAAGAAAGTTAAATGCTATCTTCTAGTGCCCTTGGCAACACAGGTCAATGTTTTTAAACTACCCTCAATGTTTTTGGAACAGCAGGGCCTTTTTCTCTTAAGGAAGGGTAGTAGTATGTCAACAAAAACAATGAATCAGTCTCACCAGCCAGGCCCGGGCAACGATGTGTGAATTCAAGGTCATAGACCCTCCCCCTCCCCTCTTACACCACCCGGTTGCTACCCAGTTGCTTCAATTGCTGACAAAATGCAAGTGATGAAACAAGGAAGTAGAGACAAAGAAATATATTTCTTTATTCAAAAACACAAAACTGTTAGAGATTATTTTCAAAGAAATTAATTCAATGTAATTTGTGAGTTGTAAATATTGTATTGGATCTTAGAAATATATTTTTTTAACACTATTTAACCAAGATACAGATCTGTTCACTATATCAGATATTTCTTTTGTTTATAATTTATTATGTAAAATACTAAATATATTTTTAATTAGGTATTGAATGAACAATAAATGATTATACTAATATGTCTGGATAAATAGTCTTTCTATTCTTTTGACTCTGTTTTCTTTGCACTGTTAGTGTTGCGTCACGGCTTTTGTCTTGTTACTCTTATCAGTAGACGACTAGACCTGGCTCTGGCTAGTGGCAGTGCGGCAATTGCTCTGTTGTGTCTTTATTCTTAAAGGTCGTGAGCCAACTTAATTTTTAATTCTCATTTGAACATTTTAATTCCTCTGTAATAGATATAATAATATAAGAGTGTTTCTTTGGAAATAAATTATTCTTTTTTTTCTTTTGCCCCAACAAAAATTCGGGGACGGGGACCGACAGACACCTAACAAAAATACCAAATGTATCAGTCTATAACATTGATCTTACTAGTTAAGTATTAAGTAACAATTTTTCAGACTTATTTTTAAAATGATTTTGGAGTAACCTACCTTGTTTTGGCTAGGTTTACAGTAGTAAAATATTTCACACACTGCTTACATCAAGACAAAAAACAAAACCTCTAATCATTTGCAATGTCAAAACAAAAAAATATAAAACAATTAAAGCTATATTTAATGCAAAGAATGTATTAAATAAGAACGCCTTCGTAAAGGAAACGCAACAGCAACGCGCTCCTGTATTGCGGGTATTGCATTGACTTTCTGCAGGCGTTTTTCGTATATGGATACTGACTCCCTCGTGAATCGAATCGTTTTTTGACCACCACTGAATCGAATCGCGATTCGATGCATCGAATCGAATCGAATCGAAATTTCGATGCATTTTCGATGCATCGCACACCCTTAGTTTGCGTGAGTCCAGGTGTCATAACTACCTAAGTTTTAAATTCCAGACCAAGCAGATACAAATAAAAGAGAATCCACTTAATGTCAAAACTATTTAACAGCAGCATTGTTTTCTTTTTCTCTCTTAACGCTCTGCACCTCATCTTCCTTGAGGGCTGAGATTTTCATCACGTCTTCAGTTTGATCTGGAGATTTTGGATCAAACTCTTCATCTTCGTTTCCAGATTTGACAGAATAATCTCCATGGTAATATGTAGGAGGACATTGGTAGAACCGGTTGAGCTTTGCCAGGTCTATCTGGCTGAACCGCACCCTCTGTCCCATCCTGGTAGCCGCAGCCGGCATCTTCGGAATGATCGTCTCGCTCACTGAGTCCTTGGAGAAGGCTATGTTCCGATAATGCATCACACTGTTGTAGTCATACGGGGTGTTCAGAGTCATAATCTCGGACGGGTCTCGCTTGTAGAAGTTGAACTCCTTTCCTAAAATCAAATTGTGATCTGTTAGCTTTGCAACTTTAAATAAGTTTTGTACTGTATGAGATTATGTATGTAAAGATTTTGATGTTCGACTAGACTACTAGACTGAACTTCAATATTTAGGGTTTTAATTTAATGGTTACGGCTTTTATCGTACTTTCAGCAGACATCCAAACAGATTTTGAATTCATTATATTTTGAAAGATAAACATTGTTCACTTATTTTCCCAATGCTTATTTAATTGCCACGACAAATATTAGAACATGAGCGGTATGGATCATAAACATAAACAAATGACGTAACTGGCCCCCAATCCTTTACTGTACTAATAACATTAACAAAATGTTTTGGACAGTTCCATTAATAATATTTACTTTCAAGTCAGGTACATTTAATTTGTTTATGATTCATACCATTTCTGTTCTAATATTTGTGTTTGTTACTCATTGAAGGGTGAACGGCTTCAATACCAGTCCAATTTAATTAAATTTAAACATGAGAAAAGAAATTTGACTAAATTGATCATATTATTTCCAAATAATTGAACTAGACAGAATGAGTACCAAAGTAGCTAGGTTTGCCGCAACAAGGCCTTCAAACATTATTTTTAATTTAATTACTAACCGAATACATCATTTTCTTTAAATCAACAAATTTGTTTGATTGGTTTCAATGAGTTTTAAAGAATCAGGAGGACATAGATTCAGATTGAAAGATTGATTAATTGAAATAACATTTAAAATAGAGTTGTTGATGATGATGGGTAGTAAGATTGAAATACAGTTGATACTTGGCTAAGATCAAAATAGATAGAGTGAGTGTAAAATATCTTTTCATATCGACAAATCAATCCTATACCTGGGAAGATGTTTTGCCAAAGAATAGTTATATGTTGGTCCCGGTCCTGCCTCGTGTGTTCGTGCCAGAAGCCAAGAGCGTGAAGGAACTCGTGCTGAATCGTTCCACGAGTTTGGCACGAAGGTCCGCCAAGGAACAAATCTAATGGTCCATAATTATGAAATCCAACAGCAGCTGCACACCTATAATCAAATTTGTATGAATATTATATCTATGATACTTATTTAATACGCAAGCATGTTTTTTGTGACAATTACTCCTCCGTAACTACTGAACCGATTGACATGTTTTTGGTGTCATTGGAAAGAGCGTAACGTGAAGTTGTGCAGGAAACTTTCTTTTTAGGGAAATAATTAGAGAGTGAGGCCCTGGGGCCCTTTAAAGTTTCGTATTTCTCCATAAGATTAACATGGGAAACAAACATTGTTATGAAACTCCAGCTGTAGTCAGAAATTTAAAGTGAGAAGAAGGACATATGTTAATTGTAAAATTGTGATAGAAAATCAGGTAGTTAATGGTTATTTGGTGCTATTAAAATAAAGACTGAAATTTGTAAACGTTGGTGACAATGGGTGCAGACCACATTATCATTGACAAAGACCAACATGGACAACCTATTGCGGCTTTAAGTGGGAAACATTTCTACAATACACTAAAAGCCAGATCAGCTTTTGAAAAAATATAAAATATTTACAAGAAATGTTGATTATATTGAACTGTTAAGTACATTGTGAGTACAGTATTATCATTAGTTACGTAATCTTTGAGATGACTTTTTTAAACTTATCGGAATCTATGACTTATATTTGTTCTTAAATAAGTTATTTGTTTTTAAATAACTGCTTTACTTCTTTGTAATTGCTCGGTTTTGAGCAACATGTACACTAGTTTACATAAAAAAGCTATTTTAATAAGTTTGGTTGTTTTTGTATATTAATTATCTTCTCTTTTTTGATCTATCAAATGACACAATTTTCAAGTGTTTTGCAATAAGATTTTGGCATTTTTCAATCAACTTAAGGTTCTTGATTGAATATTTGACTTTTTTTAACACCTACAAAAGACATCACTCCTTCTAAAATTATGAAACTGTTTATTTCATACACAAATAGAGAACTGACACAAATGTTTACTTTCAAAAATAAAGTGAATTTTAAGTAATTATGTACAGCCTTTTTTTAATGACCCAGAGTGTTCCAATAAGGACTTCGGGTCAGTCAATTCTCTCAGATTACAAAAACTTGAACTATTTATTCAGATAAATTAACTTAAGTATGTGAATTAATAATTCATATATAAAATATCTAATTTGATGAGAAGAGTTCACAGATTATATTAATAAACAAACAGCAGTACCGTACCCCAGTCCATTGTTCCGCAGTACAATGTAGGCTGGTTGGGTGGTGCGAGGCACAAACCTCACACAACTGACGGACATAATGTCCGTGAGAGCGTCCAGGATACGAGCCTGCTGTGCCGAGTTGAACTCTCCGGAAGCAAACTCGTAAGGGACGGTTTTGTTGGGCCATATTGCTGTTGGATCAGCTATTAGTGTCTTGAGTGAGTCCCCAGGCAAGTCTTTGGTCTGGAAAAATATTTATTTGGTTTTATACTCTCAACATACACAGTATATGTAGAAAATTTGTTCATACAACTTTTGGAGGTTGAGTTTTGCTGTCTTTGAACTCTCAAAAGTGGTTTTCAAAGTGATTTTTGGGTGTGTGTTTGTATGTCTATCTTACTAATATTATAAATGTGAAAGTTTGTGTGTTTGTTTGTTTGTTTGAAGTTCAATCACGCATAAACCACTGGATGGATTGGGCTGAAATTTGGCATGATGATAGCTTACATTCCCGATTAACATATAGGCATATTCTTATCTCAAAAATCCTTTCGGGCTCCGCCCCAGTGGCTCTGTAATTCCCCATGTTAACCTTATGAGTATTCATATTTAAAGGGAATTAAAGAATTTAGTCAGCTGTTTCAACTAAAAAAGTTGGTTCTATGATATGGAAAAGCATTAAAAAGTTATAAGATTTACCAACAGGGTGCAGCACTATATTTTTTTGCATTTATGAAAACAGCTATAGTTCGGCCGCTTAGAAAACGACCTGCGCGCTAATGCTAAACCAATGCTGGAGGAGGTCGTTTTCTAAGCGGCCGACCTATAATTTGAACTAAGCAGCAACAAAAAACTGTGATTCACAATGAGAACTGTCAAAGTAGGATTGTTTACAGTTATGTTTATGTTTTTCATTTCATGAATAATTTGTGAAATTTTGCGAATTGTTGATAATTTATTTTTCTCTATTGTTTAGGTGAAGTGGTAGAACATTATGGCTATGGTAGATGTGTAATACTATTGAACAGTATTCAAAATTAAAAAAAGCAAATTTTATCAAACTGTGTCCTCCCTTATTGCAAACGCAAAGCTTGAGTATAACTGCAATAAGCATTGTATACTTATATTCCAACCCCGTACGAAGGACGGGTACTCTGCTAGTAATCTATATTTATGTGTTGATGTGTACAGAGCTACAGACCACACCGTCCTGTGGTCCGATTTGATGAAATTTGGTATACCCTAATCCATTGTATCTCACAGTGGGTTTTTTTTATTATTAATTTCAAATGGTGAAGTTTTCCTATAAAGTTAAAACCCATAAAATAATGGACAAATCGGATATTTACAAAAGCTACCTACACAATTTTATTATTTTGACTTAGGTTATAAAGTTATTGCATCTTTTGCGATTTTCCCAAAAAATATCATAGTTACTCCCACCACTTACCCATCTATAAGGGTTGTTGAAAAGCTAATAGGAGAAAGTATGTCAGTTTTCTGACCCTTTTTTTGTATGCAAGTAAAAAAAAAATGTTTTTGGAGGTGGAAAAATGGGTTTGGACAACTTTCACCTAAAAAATGTTTGTGATTCTTTAGTATAAATGCCCCTGGTATAGAATTTATGAAAAAAGAAGTTATGAAGAACCTACAGTAGGTAGTAAAGAAAAGTGTTATTTAGACATGAATGCAAACTTAAAATATAACCTATTTATGGGCATACAATTTGATAAAAATTTAAATTAAAAAATAACAAACAAATGATGCAGAGGGAAACCTATGTCATTTGCCTCATTTGACACCTAGAAGCATAGGTTTATTGAAAATATGAAATGAATATTCTTTCAACAGTCACCACACCACATTTTTGTGCTGATTGTATACTACATGTAAAATGACTACTATTCGGTACTTTTCATTTTACACCAGACTGTTTTTTATTTGGCTCAAGACTACAAGTTCTCTATTTTATCTACACTAAAACAAAATATGGTGGATTCAAATACAACACAACTTTACACAAATAAACAAATTGTAATATGATGCAGGACAAACAACTAAACAAGTATACAGGGTGTCCCGGAACTTTCTACCAATTTTTTAGGGCATTGTTCCTGGGGGAAAAACATATCGAAATATCATATTTAAATTGTCCGCAAGTCCTTAGTTACTCACACATCTGCCATTTTTTTTCACTTATTAATTTTTTCTAACAAATGGTTAAACGTACAAAATTGAAACTTTACAGAAACATTGATTACAACTAGAAAAAGCTACAAAAATTATGACAATTTTCTAAATTCATAAAACAAAATTGCGGCCATTTAAAATTTTGTTTCTTAAATAACTCAAAAACCGTTGATTTTATAAAGATTTCATTTTATATAATTATTTTGTAGCTTTGTCTAGTTGTCCTAAATGTTTCTGCATAGTTTCAATTTTGTATGTTTAACCTTTTTTTTTAGAAAAAAATAGTAATTGAAAAAACTGTGTGCGTAACTGAGGACTTCCGGACAATTGAAATATGATGTTTAGATTTTATGTTTCTTACCCAGTAACAACGCCCTAAAATATTGGTAGAGAGTTCCGGGATACCCTTTATATAAAAGTTCAGTAACATTCAATGAAAACAAAAAATTTACCTGTAAAAGAGCTTGTTGTTCAGGCAGTAAAATTATATCACCTTCGAACAGATCTCCCTCTTCTGGCAGAGGCAAAGCTAAAGAAAGCACCGAACCTTGCAACACAAGGCAACTGACCAAAACGAGACCCACCATATCTAAGGCAGAGGAAAACACAACTTTGGAATCTCTGGGGGCGGTCATTGTTTCTTGGTCATTTGTCTATCCTACACTAATGAACTAAATCAACCTTATCATCCGTGATAGTTAATCCACTTAATGTTACGCAACAGTTGTATTTAACTAAATAGGTATTTTGTATTTGATTTTGGAAATAAGTTGTAAAGATAATGGGGATATTTTTTAATGGCTTATTGTAAAATATCTCTGTACGGTACATAAATGACTTGCAATGCATATACAGGGTGGCTGAAAAGTAACTTGCACCCACCCTTAGCTTTTCAACTATTTGAGATATTTTAAATCGGTTTGCGGCAGCCTTCTTAGATATGACGGCTACAATGATGGTTAATTTAGAAAATTTTGCCCTTAGGTGTAGTGGGGGCTGGGGGGTAGCTCAAAATTTGTCGGTAAGAAGTATGGCCGAGATTGGTATCATTTTACAGGTCTTGACAAAACTAAACAATTAACATAAAGAAAATAGAAATCGGACCACTAATAACAAAATGACAGTTAAAAATTACTGTACTTTTAATAACCATTGTCTTAGTAATGTTCAGCTTCCATTTTGTTAGTGGTCCGATTTCCATTGTCTTAATGTTACCGTAATTGTTTAGTTTTGTCAAGACCTGTAAAATGATACCAAACTCAACCATACTTCCTATTTGAACATTTTTAGCTACCCCTACCCCCACTGAAGGGCAAAACTGTCAAAATTATTATTATTATTGTAGCCCTTCATATCTAAAAAGTTTGCCGCAAACTGATTTCAAACAACTCAATTATAGTGAAAAAGATATGGGGGATGCAAGTTAATTTTCAGCCACCCTCGTGGTTATTTTGATTTGATATGTTTAACCCTTTGAGGACAAATTTTTTCCACATTTTCCGGAGAATTAAGCTTGCCATTCAAGCAGTCAGGAAAATGGCGCCCAGCGACCTATACTCGCCATTCGACCAAAAAAATAAACTTTTTTGATTTTTGAATAATTTTTTTATTATTTTTTTTTTTTTTGGGTCCTTGTAGGTCGTCATTTTTGAGCAGTCGGCAAAATGGCGGGCGGCGACCTATACTCGCCATTTGACCGCAAAGGGTTAAGGGCGCCATTTGGTTATTACTGGTCCGATTTTGGTTTTCTTTATGTCAATTGTTTAGTTTTGTCAAGACCTGTAAAATGATACCAAACTCGACTGTACTTGCCATTTGAAAACTTTAAACCACCCCCTACCCCTAAGGGCAAAATTTCCAAAATTAACCATCATTATTGCAGCCCCCTCATATCTAAGAAGGCTGCCGCAAACCGATTTCAAATATCTGAAAAGGTTCAAAAGTTAAGGAGGGGGGGGTGGAAATATACAAAAAAAAAATTTTAAGCTCTACAAAATGGTTTGGAAAGAAATTATGATTTTTTTCGGTTTTTGGGATCAAAAATAGGAAAAATAAATTTTTAACCCATAAACCCCTGTTCCCTTAGTCCCATTATGCTGGTTCGTGAACTCTTTCGGGAAAATGTTGGTTTACTAGTTTGTACCAAATTTAATCAAATTCATAAATAAATGTATATATGAATTTGAATGGAGGGTGTTTTTGGGCTCTTGGGACCTCAAAACAAAAAAGTAAATCGATCCCAGGTCTAGGTCTTATCATAAGACCTACGGTAATAGCTTATTCCCTATATGAGAAATTCGCTAAAACTGTTCTAGTTTCCTTCTTAATGGATATTTTTGCAAGTTATGCACTATGGGCCAGAGAGAATTGCATCCCTTTCCACCAGCCTTGTGGGGGAATTTTCTCATCATTGTGCCCTCAACAAACCTAAAAGCTCTTGTGTTCTGTATTTAATTAATTATTACTATATTTATCATCATAATTATTGTTCAATTAGTGATAGCTTATTTCCAAACCAAATCTGTATTTTTAAATCTCATTTCAATTTCATTAAGTATTGTTGTATCAAATGTTAGAGTCTCACTCACACAAGCCTACATAAAACACACACACTATCTCGGCTGTGTTGCCCGATGCAGGACGAATCCTATTGGTTAAAAAATGTGGCGTGATATGGACATGGATAAATTTGCGGTACCCCTCTAAGAAACATTGAGGTAGCGTCCCTTCCCCCTCCAAAAATAATGTTCAGTTGAAATGTAACTCTCCTCGGCTGAATACGTGCATTGCGCCGTATTTCGTTAGTCTTTCTCTATTTATAAACTTTTACCTCTAAAACCGCTTCTCGGACTCTCTAACGCTCTTCTATCGTTTGTCACGAACAATTAATAAAACTTTCTCGACGTCAAACTCTGTAAAAGGTGTTTTTTTCTTGAATAAGTTATTTAGTACGCTATCGCTGTCGCCGCTAAGTAGTTACGTCCGCCGCGTCTTCGTCGCGAGTGCTTGTGTCAAGTGCCAACTTTAGTGGATTAGGATTACTGGATTCCCCACAAGTGTTCCCCAAAAGTGTACACACTTCCCTCATCTCTACTCAATCTACAAGTTGGCTACCCTCTTCCCAAGACGTCGTCTTCTGCCATCCACTCACGGCTTCCGCCCATGTGCCACCTCTACTCTCTAGTGTTTATTGTTACTCTTCACCCTTGGATTATTGGTGAGTCATATATTACCCTCTTTACGCCCCATCTTGCGTCTCTGGGCCCAGGCCTATTTATTATGCAGCCCTGGATATAGCTTGTATTCGTTTTCTTGTTTTACTTAAAACATAGTATTAGGGATGATACTAAATTTCATCCTTCAAACAACCCCTATGTATTTTTCCATTCATCCACCCAATTATAAAAACAATGGAGCTCTCAACCAATAGGAAAACTAACTCCTACAAGGATAATCTTTTCCACTGGTCACTGAAACCAGGGGCCCAAAAATACAAGGTCAAAATGTGGGGGCTGGGGATTCATAAAATAAAACATTGTTTTGTGAATTTTAATTTCAGTAAAACCATAAGATAGAAGATAGTTCAATGGTCAATGTATACAAAAATAGACAACATAAATATAGCCCTGGGCACTACAAGTCTTTTATATAGTCATTCTATCAAAATATAGATGGGTAAGAAATAATACAACTGTTACGAAATGATACCACTTTACTTTATTTACAAAATTGGTAATGGAAACTTAAGACAATGTATTTAGTGTACAAAGGTAACCAAACAAAAATTTTACAAACCAAAAGTTTGAAATTAAAATAGTGGTAACCAAACTATTTTTATAAACCAAATACTTAATTTAAATCACAATTCTTTTAAGCATGAAGTTAACATTATAATGAAACCAATAACATTATTTTCCAGGTTTGTGGTCATAGAAAGTACGTTTTAAATCACATTTTATTAAGCTAAGTAAAAATATAAGGGATAACCAAAATTTCAGACTAATACATGAGGTTATTAGTAAATTATTTGAAATAATTCAACTAACGGAAAGAAGAAACAGTTAACGATTTTAACATAAGGGTATAAAATGTTTGTAGAATAAATCCAAGCAGAATTAAATTCTAAAGTGGATTATAAATAGACCTTTAAATATTTAGGTTGAATAAGCAAATTTTTAATTAAACTTTTTAACCAAATAAACTTTTGCTAAATATTAACACAAAGTAACATATTGCCAAATTGGTATGCTACTATGACTGTATATCTTCTTGAGAGAGGTCTTAGATTATTGTAGATCTTATTGAGGAAGTAGAGTGAAAAGAGAATAAAAATAAATATTTTTCGATACCCTACTGTGAAATGACCTGCTTTTGTTACATGTTTAACACCTGCAAAAATTCATTATTACATTGTTGTGTGTACACTATGGAAAAAGAATGTTTAATATGCAAAAGTAATGTTTACTATCTTTCTTGGATTTTTCCGACGTAAACAAAGATTTTTTATTGTTTTGTCAACTGTTTTATTGTACAATCAACGTCAATACTAACTTTAAATTGAAGGTATAACCTAAAAAATATTTAGGGTTTTGTAAGATCCTAGCTGTAACAAAGAAATATCCAATGTCTTTTTAATTAAGAAAATAATTAGTCTTTGTAGTGTAGCGAAAAGTGACGTTCAAAACACGAGTGAAAGTGGGTCTATACATATTGTCGACGATTTAAAGTGCGAGATTTTTCAAATATGTAATGACTCACTTTCTACTCTTGTTATGAAATATACTATAACATCTGCCTTGAAGCTAAAATTGTGCTGTTTCCCCTATTTTTAGTAACCAGACAAGAAAATGTCATCTATGAAGTTGCAACATAACATTTTTTGTCAGGAAAACATGCATCATATGATACAGCTGTAAACTCAAAAGCTACGAGCCTGATATATTTAGCAAAGCAGTATTAGCACTGATTATACTCCCTTAGTAGATTTCCCATCATTATAGAACAGCTGAAGCCAATTTTATCGTTAGTTCAGTCCGATGCACAGTAGAGGTTGTGTTTTGTTTACAATTTGTTTCTTGTTATTTCAGTAATTTACAACCCCGTTTAGCCAAATAAAACGATATAATTATAAACAATAACTCATCCTCTAGTTATATAACCAAACAGTACAGCACAAATCATGAAACAATAATAGAAACAAAATTTTATCGACACTAGCCACCAGTGTCACTAAACATGAACTAGACACGAAAAAAGCTTCAAAATTTACAATGGGATGCGAAGTCTACTTGTGTTAGTTAGTCTATGGAAGTAGGCCTGGTTCTGTTGCTACTGATAGTAGACCTACGTTGCTACTTCAGCATGCAACCTACCATAGTCTCCTCTAATGTGAGGCCGCGGTGAGACAAAAATGGCAACACTGCAGACCCGGCATAATGAAACAGCTGTTGCACTAATTTATAATGGAGCGTGTGCGTTTATGTTTGTTTTAGCAAATTTCCCATATAGGGAATAAGCTATTACCGTAGGTCTCATGGTAAGACCTAGACCCGGGACCGATTTACTTTTTCGTTTTGAGGTCCCCAGAGGCCAAAAACACCATCCGTTCAAATTCATATGTATATATATATTTATATATGTGTCCGTTAGCGCGATAACTCGAGCAAAATTGATCCGATTTTGATGAAATTTGGTACAAACGTGTAAACCTACATTTATTTGAACGAGTTCGCGAACCAGCATAATCAGACCATGGGATCAGGGGTTTATGGGGGGTTTTATGGGGTAAAAATCGGTTTTTCTCATTTTGACCCTAAAAACTTTAAATTTCTAAATTTCTCTCTAGACCATTTTGAAGAGCTTAAAAAAACAAATAATTTAGTACTGTACAATTGAAGTTTTTTTTTAATTTTAATTGACTAAGGAGAAAATTAAAGAAATTGTAAATTTAAAATTCCCATGTTATTCTTATGGAGAATAAATAAACTGTTCTAGTTTGCTTGTTTATGGAGGGAATATTTTAGTAGAAATCAAGACGGGTGAATGGAAATTCGCTTAGTATGCAGGTTTGCTGCGACGGGGGTATTTGTGTTATTACGACTTTTTTTTATTAACGACTTTAGTTTTAATATCCCTACTCAATCAATACTGTATGCTGATGATACTACCCTGTTCTGTAAAGATGATAATGTTTTAACAGTTGAGTGCGATCTTAATCATGCCCTAAACTGTGCTAAATTCTGGTATAAAATCAATAATTTGGCTATCAATGAGGAAAAAACAGAACACATCTACTTTTCACTAAAAAAAGATCAACCCACTGATGCTTATAAAACAGTCAAACTCTTAGGCATCCATCTTGACAACAGACTAAGCTGGGATACCCACATTACACAACTTTGTAAAAGATTGGCTAGAATAACCTGTCTCTTGAGAAAACTTAGATCATGTGTGAGTTTTAACACTCTAAAAATGACTTACTACGGTTTGTTTCACTCACAGCTGCTTTATGGTTTGCGTCTCTGGGGTGGTTCACACTTAGCTCAGAAAGCATTTGTTTGGCAAAAGAAAGCTCTTAGAGCCATGCTAGGATTGCAAGATCATGAATCCTGTAGGGATCACTTTTCCAATTTAAATTTGCTTACACTGCCATCTATGTACATTCTTTGTAATTTAATTCATATAAAAAACAACCCCTTAAAATTTTCAAGCTATTCTCATCCATACAACACGAGGCACAAAAACAACCTAGTCACACCTCAAATCAGACTTTCAAAAACTTTAAATAGCCATTTTTACATCCAACATATTTTCTTCAACAAGCTACCCACTTGTTTTCGTGAACTACCTCTAAACCAATTTAAAAGAAAAATTACTGAGTTTTTAAAATCAAAAGCATTCTACACGCAGGAAGAATTTTTAAATAGTGACATATCATGTTTAGATTCTAAATAGGATATTGTATGTATTGAAATTTATAATTGATGTATGATCTATTTTTAAGTACTATTGTAACAATGCCTATTACAAAATGTTATGTTTAATGGCTGCAATAAATCTTATTGAATCTTATTGAATCTTACAATTGCATTAGACATGCCGGCGTATTAGAGGCCAACCGACGCGGCTTTGTATTAGAAGAGGCTATAACCCTACTTGTTTATTGTTCTCTCCCAAGTTGTCTGTAGATAAAATCAATATAGTAAAAGAATGAAATCATAGCATTCATAACAGAAGCACAACAAATAAGACAAAAATTGTAAATTTATTATTACTTAGCTAAAATTACAATTTTTTAAATTATTGCTATATAACTATTGTCCGACTATTACAAAAACACTTGAAAAAATATTTATCTATCTCCTTAAAATCAAATTTTAAAATCTTTGTATTTAGTAATTTTTAATATTGCACAAATTATGTTGTTTCAGAAACATCTTGTAATATTTATGCTAAAAATAATTTGTAGCAAATAGCAAACAATTGTATTGCTTACTCAGATCTCACATTTAGTCTTACTCTATACTTGACTATTCTTGACTATTCTTGACTATACATGATACCAGGATAAAAATGATGATTTTACCCTGTACAAAATTGTTTTCTTTGAGTTTCATTTATGTTTGACTCTCTAAAAAGTAGTTGCAGGGTTTTATGGGAAATTTGGTAAATGGAATGACAAATAAAATAAACACCTTGGGTAACATGAATGGTAAAAGTAATGAAAAATAAACACCTTAGGTGACATGAATTTACACAGAAATCAGTCAATAATGTTATTTATAATTATTCGGACATTTTTAGTTACATTAATGCTGTTTGTCAAAGTATATATACATCATTTCAGAAACCTCACAATTTGATAATTTTAACATTTTGCTCACTAGATACTACATTGAAAAACAAATAAAACTAGGCCTATATTTTATATTTCAAAATACCGGTATCTAATATATTATAGTTTGTTGATACCTAATAAGAGTACCTACAGTATAATCTAATTAAGTTTGGTACCTTTCAGGTATTGTAGGCACTTTCAAACTAGTCCTTTATAAACATTGTCTTTTGGAATGTTTTAGGTCAGAATAAATTGTGTTATCAGCTAATTTTAGAGCTATTGTCACTTAGTAGAACCCTGTTCCAGTTATCATCAGACTAAGGGATTTTTTTTCTTCAAATTAACAGTCAAATCTCATTCTTAGTAAACAAATTCTGGATACATTTTTATTTTAACCAAACATTTACAATAAACAGACTAGGGAAATTATATAAATCGACTGTTAGCTGTAGTACAGACAGGCTAAAAGTGTCATTTAAGGAATGAACCTGTTTAGGACGTAAATGAATTTGGTGTTTCTACTTCAAATTGCTTGGATAAAACAAGGAAACGAACTAAACCATCAATTGAATCTGATTATGATGGAACAAATAATTAATTATTCCTTAGATTGTGTAACCTGTGATCTGCTACCAGTGGGAAGAACATGAAGTATTCGTTTTCCTTTCTTGTGATCAAATTTTATGAAAAATTTAATCCTACTTTAAATATCTCATTTTAACCTCAAATGGAGTCCGGGTTTCTTCTGAAGCAAGGTTCTACTGAAAAATTAGACTTTTTAAATTTCAATATTTAGAAATATTGTTATCTCTTTTGCACAAAAAACATTGCTTGTCATATTTTTGTTTGTTTGAACAAACTCTACACTTATTTCTAGCCACACATAAAAAGACGTTACTACTAACACTATGCAGATATAACAAAAGCGAGACCACATAGTACCTTAGGTACTGGTACTGAGAAAATGTTTTAGCATGTAACTTCTTCTATCCTGTCTATTCCCCAGCCGAACTCTTTCACATAGCCTGTGTTTGGAAGAGCTTTGCGGCCCAGGATGTACTGCTCTACCGTCTTGTACATCGCCTTGACATGAAAAATAGAGTAGAATTACATAACATTCATGATGGTACAATGAATTATCTGTAGATAGATGTAATCAACTTTACCCACCAACAGTCAAACTGAACAAAGAAAAAAATATACCTTCCTACACAGGAATCCTTTTCAATTATATATCTGAAAACCTAAAAAAAGAGCAGACAAAAAAGAAAACTTGCTGGTTTACTTTTAACAGGTTACAAGAAAGAATTTTCTCAACTGTAAAATGATAATCAATGCATTGATAGTGTTAATGCTTTCATTAATTATATTTCACATTTCATGTAACAAAAAAAAAAAACTTTACTGAAGAAGTGATTGAACACATTTCCTTGCTCTTGCAAACCAAATAAAATTATTCCAAAACGTTTTTTAGTTCATTTTTAACAAATCCCCTTCTAGAAATTATGATATTCTAGAACAGGCCATAAATTGATCTAATGAAGTAGGAGAATTAAGTTACATGGCAGAGGATCAGTCTTGAACCAATAATTACAATTGTTGTTACAATTGTTATAATTGTTCAGGTCGTGAAATGCCACTGGCGTTAAAAAAAAGGCGATACCACTGAGCACTGTGTATGGAAAAATATCTAAATAAGATCTTGCAAAAAAAATCTATGAGGGAAAAATTGGGGTAACATTCAAAACTTGCAGTATGCTTAAAGTTATTTTTGGCAATACAGTAGCACCTAATCTGGCTTAAACGAGTGGTGAGAAAGCTAGATTTATGAAAAGGCCAGATCATGTAAATTAGTGAATTATGCTCACGGGTGTTGCTGGGATTGAGGGAGACAATCATGACTCATGGTGTCTCCGAGACCGCATAAAAGATGCTAAAAAAAGTGTGATCGTTGGTGTATGCTATCAAATGAAAATAATATTACATTAGTAGCCTTTGGTAGCTTTCTATGTGACAGAAAAAATCTGTATGAGGCCTGAGGACTATAGGTTGGAGACACCGGTTTAAGGATATGATTTTTGAAGGATGATACCAAGGGAATTCCAAGAGGGTCAGAATTAACAAAGGCCAAATATACTGAATATTCAAGGTTAAGAATTTAAGATTTTTCAAATTTGTTCATTATGTTTTGTACCTGTACTGTAGGGAGATCGTTATTAACGTCAACAACCAAAACAGGTGCAGGTAACGAAGACGGATCACAGTCCACCAACCAACGCTCGTAGCTGTTGTGTAGATCTGTCAAATACTGCAGACTGACAGGACTCTCCTCCGGTCTGCCTCTGCGTTGCATACGCTCATACACTACCACAGGGTCACTACGCAAGTATACTGAAAAGAATATAAAGTCTAAGTACAACATAGACAGCAACTCACTTTTTATATGCATTGGTATGGTTCACTTGTTTTGCATTGTATATCAGTGGAGTAAAAGAGATTGTGTCAAATTAAAAGAGCTAGTGCTGTTTAATTGTTGAAGAAAATACAAAACTTACTTTTTACAAAAAGTGCATGGTTAATAACAGACTGACTAACTAAGCTACAGGGCTAACACAGGTGAGGTTCATAATGTCCAAATTTCACAAACTCCAACGTCTAAAATATTAAATAAACAGTGCGTTTCATAACCTCCAAATTTCATAAACTCCAAAACTATAACTTTCAAATAAGCACCGTTTCACAATGTCCAAATTTCACAAACTCCAACGTTAATATATTAAATAAACAGTGCGGTTCATAACCTCCAATTGCATCTCCAAGTTTCATAAGCTCCAACGGTACAGTCTCTGCCAGAAGTCGCTGCAGAGGTTGCCGTGGTTCGGTATGTAGGCGCTACACGTTCTACTGTTGTAGCGGCGCAACACGAAGCATCATTGTTGCTCCGTAATTGCTTTCTTAAGAGTATAAGTATATATTCTTAAGAGTTCCCATAGTCCGATCATGCTGGTTCGCAAACTCGTTTGAATAAACGTAGGTTTACACGTTTGTACCAAATTTCATAAAAATCGGACGATTTTTGCTCGAGTTATCGCGCTAACGGACACAAACATATATATATGAATTTGAACTGATGGTGTTTTTGGTCTCTAGGGACCTCAAAACAAAAAAGTAAATCGGTCCTGGGACCAGGTCTTACCATGAATACTACGGTAATAGCTTATTCCCTAAAAGGGAAATTCGCTAAAATGTAAATTTGATTTGCACATTGTGTGCTAACACGTATTTGAGTCACACAGCTGAGTGTTCTTCAATCATTAAAATGTATGTATAATCAGTAGTTGAGTGCTGGTGAACGGTGCCTGCTATCTGACTGTGGCAACCACTAGAGAGACTTCTGGCCCAGACTGTTCCGTTGGAGGTTATGAAATTTGGACATTATGAACCGCTCTGTTTATTTGGTATCTAAACGTTGGAGTTTGTGAAACTTGGACATTGTGAAACAGTGATTATTTGAATGTTATAGATTTGGAGCTTATGAAATTTGGAGGTTATGAACCGCTGTTTATTTAATATTTAAACGTTGGAGTTTGTGAAACTTGGACATTGTGAAACAGTGATTATTTGAATGTTATAGCTTTGGAGCTTATGAAATTTGGACATTATGAAACGCGCTGTTCATTTAATATTTTAAGCGTTGGAGTTTGTGAAATTTGGAGTTTATGAAACGCTCCCGCTAACACTCTGGTTGTCACCTACGAGTGATTCACACGCCACGGTATTAATTTCCACAAGCAGCACTAGTTGCAAATGACAAATGTACTTTGTGCCTATTGAATACAGCAGTTTGCCAACAGGGCTGTACATAACACCGGCTAGGGTTCTGTGGAACTTGCGTGCAAATTCTTTTATGGTTTTGCTGAAAAATCCAAACTACCGTGTTCTCGGCTGAGTTTGCAAGTGTATATTTTCATTTTGTCACCAATAAGTCCATGGTGTAAAAAGTGCTATGGAATAATTTATCAGGAATCGTCGTCACTATCACTTACCAATGAGATCAAGACCGATATCGAGATTGTTTTCAATCCAGTCATACCACTCACACATAGCTACATAGTCAGGATCTGCCAACAAACCGGCTTTATGGGCCATTTCTACAAAGCAGTACCTGTAACAAACAACAGTCATTATCTTGTGCATCAGCAGTGCAAAAAACTTTCCATTTCAAAGTCTGAGAAAAAGTTCAGTGTCTTTGAAAATTGAAAAAAAAAAATCCTTGACCCTATATAAGGTCAGGGAAAGGGAGAACTGAGAAGGACATGCGTGTAGAAGTAGATTACATTTAACAATTTTTACATCCTAAAGACGAAAGAAGATTGTTTTAGTAAGGAGATAAATGATTAATGTTGATAAACAATGATAATGTTACAAATGACAAATTTTCAATAAATAAATCACAGAGTCAACCGTGGATCCCAATGAGTAATTCCTACTGATAAGGTGTACTGTTGTCGTTGTCTTCTGTTGAATAGAAAAATAAATAAAATTGTCTTCTGTTCAGATGTACTTGTCCATTGCAGATGTATTGTCATTGTGTTGTGTCAACTTCAACTCTTTCCAGATCTTTCTGTATGGATTACTACCAGGGAATTATGTTTATCCACCATAACAAAGTATTACCTACATAAAATGAAGTATTTTTGTCTACTAATATATTGGCCAATACAATTTAAAATGTTTCTAAAATCTAATACTGAACAAATTTTAGTGTATTTTAATGTTACCAGTTGTGAAATAAATATGTTCATAAATTGTGTGCCAGTTGCATCTTTTGGGTAAGTAGAAATTTTTTAAAATTGTAATGATGTTGATGATGTAGGAATTTAAGTTGATCAAATTTACATTTAACTTACATTCGAAATTCATTGTTAGTCTAATGATTTAAAAATAAGGCGCAGAAAATTCGTTAAGTAGAGGTTAAATTTGATATATGCAGAAGATCTGACAATGATAAATTTGTTATATTGAGGTGTCTTATTTTAAGCGGGATCGTCAAAAAATCCTTAAATATAGGTTGTTGATATGGTTTGTTGTTGTGAGGTAGAATATACATTGTGTCTTATGGAGAGTTCTAGGGGATTAACAAAATTCATTATATTGAGGTTATGTCAAGGTTAGACTGTAGTATTAAGAACAAACAATGGATCAAAATTTAACCCAAGAGAATTTCAAATGAACTAATCTTGTTGGTAAATGGATTGAAATTAATTGATCAGTGATTAAATTAAGTGAAACAAGCCACTAATGGTTTGGATAAAAATTTTAAACATCAAATAAGGACTTCCATAGTCAACAAAATTTATGATGATTCAGCTTAGTTCGGTTTGATCAATCCAGAGAAAAATATGAAACTAAGTTGATCTGTTGGATTTATTTTCACTAGGTGGTAAAATCTAGGTAACTTGAATGTAACAAAACATGGATTTGGGCTAAGCTTATCAAGTGACAGTCCACTTAACATAAAAGAAGACTTCAACAACTCTTTTAATTGTTTAAACTATGTATGAAATAGAAACTAAATCTAACCGATTAGGCCCTGCAGAAAATAGACAACGTCGCTGGTACAACAATTCCGAGAAACCCACACCCCAGACACTGCCAGTCTAACGGTTCAAGATAAAGATACACTGGAAGTAAGCCTTCCACGCTCTCAACACGCGCCCGCCACGCCGCGAGTTTAAACAGTGCAATGTGATAAACAGAGCAGTAACTCTTATGTGTACATAAACTGTTTGTATATATAGGATGTAAGCATAACATAGTGACCTCTGAAGATGCCACAACCTGTGGTGAAATGTGCACAAGGAAAAAAACTCATCAAGAACTTAAGGCATCTACAAAACGAAAAGGCAACAAACATACAAGATAAAGATAAAACAACCAAACAGGTCTTCTTAGACTGTACATTGATCATCTCACTTTATTACCATTACCAACTGGCGATCGTTGACCAGATGTCTGGATTGATATTGTCATATAAAATTTACTTTTAAAAATGAAATAAACTAATATTTACAACATTTAAAAAACACTCCATGGCGGCCGGATTCTTACTCAAATGTCCATTGCTGTGGTAAAGTATTCCTCGATGGAATAGAAGCAATTCCTACTAAAGCACTTACCTATTAGTGCTGGGTTTGGTATTTAAGCCCAAAGTAGTATTTTACACTCATTCAGATTTATTAAAATAGGTACCGTACCTAGGGTAGGGGTACATATGGTGTCAAAGTTATAACGACAATGAAGTAAACAAATGATTCTACTACACTAAATTATATTGTTAGAATAACCTGTTATTTTGAAGAGATCGTTCAAATATCTGGATCTTGTGTTCCGACTCCAGAACCTGAAGACTGAGTCGACTCAGTTGAACGTAATGCTGGAAAGTGAAATTCCAGCGTTGAGGCTCAGCATATGTCAACATCAACAGATTATGTCCTTGTACGTTTTTCCAGGAATCTAGAGGCTCCTGCAAAACAATTACTAAGCGGTTAATGTAAATTTCAAGGTATTTCATAGGCGTGTTACAAGAGGACACTATATGTGCCATTTAGAATAGGGCCTGTGAAATACTTTTCAAATGCCTAGGTAGACCAATTCTCATGACTTTCCTCTATATTCTTGAAATTGTGATCAATCTACAATTACAGTACTGATGATGGCATCTAATTTCCCTCAAAATAATTACAATACAATAGGCAGAGAAATGCTCACAAACAGAACCTTAGTAGTAAAAAGAGTTTAAAAGAACAAAATTAAAGAAAATCTTTTTGCTAATGGATACTACTTTGCAACATAAATATTGAATGATAAAACAAAAACTTGTATTCAATGATCTTAATGTGACTTTTTCTACTTTAATAACATGTCCAAGGTTACCGGTAATAATAAAAAAATACCATTTGTGTAACCAGATATGATTTGTATTAAATTATTTGGTACAACAAGTAGCGACGTGTCTTTTTTCAACATTTACTAGTACTAAGGTAGCAGTTAGAAAAATGTTGAAAAAAGACACGTCGCTACTTGTTGTAGGCCTACCAAATAATTTAATACAAATCATATCTGGTTACACAAATGGTATTTTTTTATTATTTATGGTAAAAAATTGTAAAACCTTCCACGGTTGTTTTCACTTTATTGGAGGCAGCTAACTTAACAGTGGAGCATATTTTCTAAAAAAATGATCAAGCTTTTTAAAACAAATTGTTATTATCAAATAGGCTTGATCAACAAGGACCATATAAAGTTCTGAGCTTAAAGGATCAGCAACACTGTTCAGGTTTTTTTCTTTTTAATGTTTGTTTTTGTTGTGTACGGTAACTGATAGCAGTGATAGCTATGACCATTAATCTTGGAACCCAGAACCCAGCAGTTTGGCTAATTTTTCAAAATCTTTTCATCACAAAAATAAACTAGTAATTTTTACTCTTCGCTGAAAATAGTTTCTTTCCCTTAAGAATACCAAAATTTAACTATTATTTTAAATTTCAAAGTCAATAAACTTAAAATACAACCTGGCTGGTAGCTATTTCCCTCCTAAAAAGTGACAAATGTAGAAACAGTAAGAGATTTTATAACAATTGCAGAACTTTCAGTTTTTCTGTACGGTAGCTTCTATGATTTTTATTTTATTTATATATTCATTCAACAGGATGGTAAAAAATGAAACAAAAGTATTATCAGATATATTTTACGTACAGGACGTGAGTCAACCTCAGAAAACTTCTTGAAATAGTTTATAAGAGTGGATTTCCCACAACCAATGTTTCCTTCTATTGACACTCTTAATGGACGCTTTGAGTGTTCTTCTGCTTGAGCTTCGCCACTTTCACAATCTGCACCCATTTTCTTGAAGGTTACTGATGATGGCAAGCACCTAAAAAATTCTGAAATTGAGATGTTATAGGTCTATTTCAGACTAACTAGTAGCCTACACTGTTTTTATTACTAAATAGACTTGGCATGAATACGCAGTAGAGTTAACTTTGTAAGATCAAGTATCAAAGCAGGTCTCTGTCACTTTCCGATTTTGTCCACTGTCTTTATTTATTGTCCACAACAGGGAAAGGTAAAGAAGATAACGAGGGGGTTTGTTCATTTATTTTAACTGCAAATTGCAAGCACCCGATTTACAATTGTGGTTCTTTCAGAATACATAGAATAGAGACCTAAGTTTGAATGAGCTTTCCGTTGCATGGAGTGTAAAACATGTCATCACATAGGCTCGTCATTATTACGACTATCCACAGTAATATCCTGATAATTAGAACAATTCGTTCAGCCTAAGTTAACAACACTGGGCCCTAACTTATTAAATATTAACCAGCAGTGAATCAGGTGTTAACCTGTACAGATGAGGTAAGGTAGGCCTAGGTAGGGTAACCTATGTAAAATGCGAAGTAAGATGACATATTAACTTACTGTCTAGTGTCTTTATAGTACAGTATAGATTTTAGACTTACGACTTGGATTGGATTACTAGTTTCTTAAATGATGACCGCAGCATCAACTGTCAACAGTGTCAACTTGCAGATTTTAGGTGTAACCTTTTAGATGGATAGGCTAATAGATAGACCTACACTCTACGAACCACCACAGGTTAACAAGATGAAGATGACACTTCTAATGTTCTAAAACTTTAATTTACCATCCATCCGTATTCCGTTATACCTCAAGCCTACACTCTAACTCTTAAATCGGAAAAGAAAACCCGAAAATCGTAAACACGCAATAACAACAACAACAGCAACGAACAACGTCAATAACCTCCAACATTTTCCCGCCGAAGGAAATAAAATAAACGAACAGACTAAAATGAATACTCGCCATGGAGAAAGAAGCATTCGATTTAAGCACAGACTGCAAACTGTTATAGACAATTATAACCATAGATTAATTAATTATTAAAGGAAAATACTTAATCTGTAGGTGTAGTATAACTTTATCCAGTGACAGTTTATACAGTTTTTGCAACAAACCTACCGACTAAGCAAATTTCCATTTGCCTGGATTAATTTTCAATTAATCTATTTAAATTAGCATTTATGTTTAACGAGTACCTAGGATAGTTGCTACAGGGAAACTAATAAAGTGGGTTTTTTATTAAAATATCAATGGCTTAGTATGAAGTAAATAAATCCGCCAAGTTCTTAAAAATATATCCATAAACAATACAACTACAACGTTTTATAACATTCTCCATATAAATAACATGGGAATTTTAAATTACATCGCTAAAAGAGAACAGAGAATACACTCGGCCTTCTACAATAAAATCACTGCTGTGTAGTGTAGTCTACTATTGTACTCCAACGAAAATGGTCAATGATAAAAATTAAAGAAAAGTTAAATAAATTTTTCTAGGTTTTCCCTTCTGCTAGTTAAATGGCATTTTATTTGGTTTAATAGATTCTATGAACTTTATACTGAGTAAAAAAAAAGACAGTCAGAGAATGTTTATTTATATTAGCAATAAAACCTGTATGTAGAAAATAATCAACAGTGTTATTTTGTAGTTAAATTTGACTACCACACGGACATGATGCGCATCAGTGCTTCATAAAACAATTCCAAGGCAACCACAACAAAAGGCAAAATGTTGAGGGACTTGAGTTCTTCCTTCTTCTCTTCTCTGCCTTCTGTACTGTCTACACTGTCTCCTGTCCTGTCTGAACCTAGTAGTGTTCTCTGTTCTGTTCTGTGTACTGTCACCACTGTCACTATACTATATACTGTCAGATAGATTCTGTCACTCTCGCTCACTAGTCACTGCTACCATAGCTGCTACATTGCATTGCATTCACTGATGTGGGATACTCCGGTTCGTGGTTGGTTGCGTGTTGTTTTCTGTCGTCGCTTGTCTGAAGTCAAAAGTCAAGTGGCCCTGTCTGTCAGTTAATTTGTTATAGTTATGCTAATGCAAAGAAATCCTTGAAGAGAAATTCTGTAAGTTAGTAATATTGTTTAGTATGTATTAATTAGACTAGGCCGATTCTATTCAAGGGTACTTGTTTACTTAATAAGGAAATAAACTAGGCTTGGGATGTTAATCAACCCCAAGAAGTTAAACAATAAAGGCAATAGGCCTATTAAGTCTAACTCAACTTAGCCTAAGTTATAAGCCATTTCTTGAGATGAATATAATGTTTTACCATAGATAAAACATACTCCCAGGATAGTCTATTTTTTTACCGACAAACTTCTTTAAAATATGAGTTTTTTTAGAGTGTATGCAATGTTGGCTGCACTTTACTTGACGTCCTACACTCATTTGAATGAAAATATCAATCGATATATCGATTAATCGATTGCTTCATTCGATATATCGTTTGGTTAGTTAGGTAAGGTTAACCTAACTAACCAAACGATATATCTCAAATGTAAAAATCGAATGAAAATATCGAATCGAAAAAAAATAACCGAATGAGTGTAGGACGTCAAGTAAAGTGCAGCCGCAATGTTTCCTTAGATATTAATAGAGCTACAGTATTAATTTAAATACCGTACTTTTAATACACCAAAAATTTAAACTTAAATGTTTATAGGCCTAGGCTTAGCTTTAGACATTCAGTATAGAAGAATTTGGCAGTAAGATTGAAGTTTAGTAACTTACTGCAAATTACTAAGTTACTTTGTAGTAAGTTAACGTACGGAATAATGGCCTTTTTTAGTTTAATTCAATTTCCAGCAGAAGCCTTGTTCTCGATACAATTCCCAGTTGGATCTGCCAAGAAATAGGCTAGGCCTAAAGAAATTTATTGTTTTGAGGGATAAAAATGAGAAAACCAATTTTTACTCTATAAAAACGCCTCTCGCAAAACCCATTTTCCCTTTGTCCCTTGCTGGTTCGCGAACTCATTCAAATTAATCCTGCCCTACATCTCAGGCCAAATTACACCCAAATCGGTCAAAAATTAGTAGTTAATATCGGTCCTAGGCTTACCATGAGACCTACGACAATAAGTTTAGCTACTCCCTTATAGGTAAATTTGCTAAAAACGCTAACTTAATACAGTAGTTCATCAAAATTAAATCGTACAGGCTATCAAAGTTATCAGTCGGATGTTAGTATCAAGGCAAGCTTGTTTCTTTAAAACGTTTTTTCTCAGTTTGTGTCCATCGTAGGGAAAATCTATGCATTCTGTTGGAAAGATATTTCCTGTAGATGTGCATAATTCACTGAATAATAACCCACCATTCATCACTCTATAAATTAAAATAGGCTAAAAAATAAGCACAAATCAATTTTAAATTTTTAAAAATTTACATACGGGCTTTGTGAATTGCCATGCTGATGACCAAATAGCAGCAAAACATCAGAAAATAAAAAAAAATTAAAGAAAGTCCAATCAAATTTTTTATTTACAGCCTGGTGATAAAATAGAGATGTCTGTACATTAGGCCTACATATTTTTGGTCGAGTTTTTGACCACTGGACGACCTCTAGTTTAGTTTAATACCCCAGAAAATAAATGTTAATATATTTTTTCAGAAAAATGGCCAACGCTGAGTTAGCAGCGCTGGTGGTAGCCAAGCTGTCTCCTGGTCCTGGAGAACATGTCGCTGTTGTATCCTTTTCAGAAATCCGAAATGTTAATTATCTTTACACAACTTACATACAATGTTCTACTTTACAAGGTCAAATTTAATACTAGATGCATATGCATGAATCAGACCAGACCCCAATTTTGTGTTCAAGAGAGAGGTTACATTCCATTTTGGTACTCTGAAAAGTAGCTTTTTGATGGTTCAAAACAGGACCCAGCTGTTCCTGATTGTTGGGCTTTAAATAAATGATACTGGCTAATGAAACAGCTGATCTTAGTAACAAAGCTACACTAACTCACACCATTCTACACTCTGCTTGCATTCCATTTCTTCAAATACACCCAAAGTTTGCATCACTATCTGACAGAATTGAGAATTAATAAGTGTTGCTTCAGGTGCTAATACTGCTAATAATGAAATATTGGCACCCTATTTGTTTTTTAAGGTGGATTAAAGCTTTGAATAGTTTTATATGAAGTACCAGTAACTGTAATTTTTTTGTGCAATCGTCAACAATTTCTATTTTATGTGCACCATTAGGGTCACACCACAATTTTTCGTGAAGTGATCTTACTATTTTCTTAAATTACAGGTCCTATCCTTTACTCAGATTTGGGTTAAAATGGTGTCCCCATCTCAATTGATTATTGATAATAATAATATAATAATTCTTTAAAAATTATTTTTCCTCTTTCGCAATTACATTGGGTGGAATCATACTTTTATTTAAAATCTGTCTGATGTAAGCTGATCTTTTTAAAAATCCTTTTATTATTGTTGCTTGTTAATATTTTTTTTTTTTTTTCATTCAATTTGATTAATTTAGTGAATTCATAGCTTCCTACTTATATTTTTGAGGGAATTGACATTAACTTTCATAAGTTAATTCATTGATGGATGAAAGAAATTCAGTCCTATAAAAGAAGTGGGCTGCCCACCACTCATGCCCCTAATTGACGCTGGCAATTTTTAACTAAATAAGTACTGTCTTAATTTAAATTATAATTTGAAAGAACGAGCATATGTGAGTTTTTCCTGAGTGGAGCGAAGTGAATCTCTTTGGATTGAGTTAATTTTAAAAGTTTTATTGAAAATTTAATTCTGTAGTGCATGGAACTATCTCTGATATAAGAGAATTAGAGCACATTACATTCATTATTTTTTGCACTATCTAATTACACGGTTTTAATCAATTTGGTCTGTAATGTCATAAAATATAGACGAGTTTCTGTATACCGTATATGTTTGTCGCGGGTGAACGCAAATTCCAACCAACCTACTGGACTAAAATTTTACACTGATTAAACACCCAGCCAATAACCCATTGATTGTCTAATGTTTTGAAATAGGTAGACTTGATGAATCCAATCTGACTCTACGTAAGTTATTCCTTGACGTTGAGACAGGCCCATGAAGCAAGTTTGATGCAGGGTTGGGTAAGAACGTCTCGCATTTTGGCTTTATTAGAGAAGGACACTAACTACGCTCTGATCGTGTTCCTGTCCTCCCAGACTCCACCGATCGCCTACTCTGAACTCACCATTGAACGAGTTCTGCCCATCAACTCTGACTTCAAATGTGATATAGGTAAGTAACGCTCTATCCTATAATATTTATAGATTTTAGATGTTATTCAGGCTTTACCATTGCTAAATAATATAGGCTAGTAATGAGTGATCACAATAACTTTATTAAATTAATAAATACATTAGGCCTATAGAAATAAAGCTATTGAGGCTTCCTCACATACATTGTTTGAACATTTAGTAGTTTGCAGTAACTCGATTTAATGGGGAAAACGCCGGACAGGAGATGTGGTTCCTCTTTTACAGAAAGATAAAAATACTGGCTTTAATAGGTACTAAACAAATTAAATAGGTTATAGTTCCGGCACCTCAATTTTTACAAATCGAGCACTGCTAGTTTGAAATATAATTTTTATTGTACTTCATAGTTTTTGTAGAAGTAGTAGGCTATTTGAAAACTTAAACTTACTTCTTAACAGAGGTATTAGTTTTTTATTTTTATTTTAGATTTAACTATATCCTAACTTGAGATGAGGCTTCAGCAAGTAATTTTGGAACTTCTAATGAGACAATAATTTTAACAATCACTGTACTATTTTAAAGATTTTAAATTATTTTTTTATCGGCATACTATGTGTTTTCAAATTCACAAAAGTTTTAAAAACATATCTTTAGTAAGACCTTAAACTTACACAGTTTGAAACTCACAAAATGGTAAATATAAAAAAGATTATTGACTGTGATCAATTTTGATTAGGGTGTCCAGTCGAGATTGATCGGCACTTAACCATCTTTTATAGGTCTCAGATATTTTTAAAGTGTGTTAAACTATTTTTTAATTTTGATTTTAAGTGAACTGCACAGATTCTAATTAGTAATTTAATTTTCTTAGACACAGAAAGTAGACATCAAGATGGAACAGATGTATACATCACTTCTCGGAAGCTCAAACTGCTCTTTGAAATGGTTCCTGGAAATAAAACCAGCAATTTCGTCAGTGAAGTTCTACGTGCAATTGATTGTAAGTCTAAGAAAACACATTGGTCGTTAAAGCTACTAGCGCTAGGGTTTTGATTGAAATAATTTAAATGGCTTGCTCAGGTTTTTTTTAAGATTGTAGATGAATCAAAGCAAGTAAAGGCTATGATGAAAACCTCAGTATAATTTCAGTCAATAGAGTAGTCTAAGGGTAGACAAAGTGGCAAATGAATTAAAAAAAAAAAATTTAAATGATAGGATTAAGTAAAACAATTAAACAAAGAGTAATAGGCTATTTGACAGTTTTTATTGTTTATTGAATGGAAACTGGACGGGTGATTTTTTTAATGGGTTACAAGATGGTGATGACTGTGTAAAATTTAGCAGTACCTAGGTCTACTATTTTAATAGATATTCCATTTATAAATCCTGTGATATCAAGGATCTACTAGAAGCTTCTTTTGGAGGATTAGTGAATTAGTACATACAGTAGAGTCCCGATAGTCCGAAATGGTTGGGACCGAACCCATTTTGGATTAACGAATATTTCGGATTAAACGTTTTTTTTTAATAAAAAAAAAAAAATTTCGTTTTAGGACGCAGGCATGAGCCCGGGATTGTTTTTCACATTACTAAAATAACAAAAATTGTGAAATGTTTACTAAAATAATCTACAAAAAAATCTATCTCGCCCGGCCGCTACAGAATACTTTGACGAGGTACAGCTAACTGTGTTAAAAGTTTAATAAATATTTTTATTTAATTTTCAAAAAATTTTCAAAATTTTCAAAAAATTTTAAATTTTTTATGAAAAATATATTTTTGGTTTTGGATTAAGCGGACTTTTGGATTACCGAAGTTCGGATTATCGGGACTCCACTGTAGTTGAATTCCTGAGTGTATCTTATCTATAATACTGATTCTTTGTATATTTTATTTTTCATTTTGTTGTGCTGTTTTACTGACATTTGATTATTATTTTTATAGTGTTAGGCAAGAAAAGGAATGGATCTCAAGATTTCTCGTGGCTCAACAAGTACAACCCTGTTTCAACTGGGGCTGATGATAATGCTGAAGACACTAAGGATCCGGTAAGTGTATAAAGCGCAGAAGAAACATTGTATTTGTCCATTTGATAATTTCCTCTCTAGTGACGAAGCTGTTTCTTCCCTAATGGACTAATGTACTTCTTGTTTTATGTTCTCGGAGGCCAAAAACACTATTCATTCAAATACATAAAGCATTAAATAAAGCTTTAGAGATAGTAATAATGATCGGATTTTATGAAAGTTGGTACAAACGTGTAAACCTAAGTCTAGGCTATGTAAATAATTTCGCAAAATGATCAGATTTGATCAAAGTTGGTACAAAAAAGTAAAAGCTAAGTCTAGGCTATGTAAATGATTTCGCAAATCAGCATGAATGAACTGTGGGGACAAGGTCTTGAGATAAAAATTGTTTTCCCTAATTTGCATCCTTAAAACTTATAATGTTTTGCAATATCTTTAAAAAAAAAGAGTAATCCAATGGACCTAATTAAGTATATTGAAGTGTTTTTTGTACGCTTAATGGTTTACAAAATTTCTATTTCTCTTCTGGAGGATAAATAAGCTGTTGATTGAACACATGTACTCTGTTTTATTGAATAAAGAATGATTCGATTGATTGTTTGATTAATTTGATACCTTAGCTAAACCGTACAGGCAGATAATGAGGTTAAAAGTCCACATTCTTTGAAAGCCACTGGATAAGCAGGATAAGCTTTACATTTTCCATGTTTTTATTCAAGGGTTTCCTTCTGGTAATATCTTACTTATATTTTCAATATATCTCCACAGTTACTGTTGGACAGTCCTGAGATGGCCGTGCCGAGACAGAGTATCGCCAAAGGTCACACACCGATTGCAGCCAGAGAGAGTGTCATCAGATACCAGATGGCGATGAAGGAAGACGACTACACGTACACACAGACACTCAGGTATTCTGTAGTCAATGTTTTCATTTACCTAAAGCCAGCAGAGTTGGATAAGGAGGGAAAATTGTCAAGGTTTATGATGAAAACCCTTCAGGAGCGAAAATGTGCAGTACCTATTCCAGTCGGGCCTATGTTTATTTTCTTCTGTGCAGCAGTTTATGATTGATGTAAAATATTTATTAATTTACTGAAAAATGTAATCAATTTTGCTGGATTAATAAAAGTATATTCAGAAATTATAGATGTCGTCCAGTGGTAAAAAAACTTAACCAAAAATATGTAATGAACCTCTATTTTCACCCCACGCTGTAAATAAAACATGTATTTGGAATTTCTTCCATTTGTTTTAATTTTCTATTTGTATTTTGTTGTTATTTCGTCACCAGCATTGCAACCCATAAGGCCCATGTTACTTTTTAAAATTTTAAAATCTTTTTTTGTGCTTATTTTTTAAGCCTATCTTAATTTATAAAGGGATTCTCCACGTCTACATTAAAATATCTTTTTAACAGTATATTTGGATTTTCCCTGCAATGCACACAAGTTGAGAAAAAAGGTTTACATGCTTGCCTATTAATAAATAGGATACCGTTGTTACTGCGCTTTAGGCGTAAACAGTTTTGAAAATCAATTAGAAAGACATTGAACTGATTCGTAATAGGCTGCTTCATATTATTGGACACAATGGTGAATCAATTTTCACAGCATATTTTATATCACATGTGTGAAAACCAATGTTTATTTCAGATTCGGGACTTGATTCTTAAAGATTTTGATTCAGATTTAATTTTTGAAATTCCTAGATTTGACCATCGTTACTGAACCATCAGCATCACATTGTATACATACACTTTTTTCAAAGTATAGATATATATGTCCCACTTTCGTCAGGCTAGGTCCAGAGGGTCTCAACATATCTCATGAATAAAATCCATTAGTGATCGGTGGGATTCTAACCCAGGACCTCAGGGATCGAAGTTCCACGCTCTTCCACTAGACTGTTCTATTGATTTAAGACATTAAAGTTAAATTAAGTTACAATCCACATTAAGAATTTTTACTTTTATACCACCATAAGGGTTACATTCAAGAGGTTTTGCAGGGTGTTTGTAGGGACGTGGAATGTTAACGGACAGCCTCCCATGAGTGTGTCACTACAGCCGTGGCTCGCCTGTGACTCAGAGCCTCCGGACATTTACGCTGTCGGCTTCCAGGAGCTGGACCTGAGCAAAGAGGCGTTCCTGTTCCATGACTCCCCCAGGGAAGAGGAGTGGAGGTATGTTATGTAGATAACCCCCAGCTGCAGTAAATATGCAGACTAAACAAATTTTCATTTGACCAGTTTGACTATCACTAATATATTTCCTTAAAATTGCCTGATTAATTTCCTATGGGCATCAAGTGTTCAATGAGATGTAGGTTTGCTGCTACAGGAAAGGCAATAAAGAGTGTTTTTATTGAAATATAATTAGCTTATATGAAATAAATAAATTTGCTAAATTTATTCATGTTGAAGCCTTCCGGAATTGGTAATCAATTATAACAGGTTACATACCTTGACGTCCACAATTCCTTAGTCGGTATCCGTTGACTATAGTTTCGACTACTATGTAGTCATTATCAAAAACAGAACAATAAAATAATTACATTCGTTGAATGTCGTCAAATCTTAAATACATCGAACACACAAACAAACATAACACGAACACGGTAGACATTTAACATAATTGAAATGGAGTGGGGTAAATAGTCAGTCATCGTCGTCGACCAGTTCAGTGACGTGTGCCGGCCGGCCAATTATGTTAAATGTCTACCGTGTTCGTGTTATGTTTGTTTGTGTGTTCGATGTATTTAAGATTTGACGACATTCAACGAATGTAATTATTTTAACGTTCCGTTTTTGATAATGACTACGTAGTAGTTAAAACTATAGTCAACGGATACCGACTAAGGAATTGTGGACGTCAAGGTACGTAACCTGTTATAATTGCTAAATTTAATAAAAATATTATATATCCATAAACTAGCAGAAGAAAATCTTAAATCCATGCATAGCTTGGTATGCAGATAACTTTAAAGGTCTTTGTTGATCAAATACAATGTTGCAAATTTGAGTTTAAAAGAACAACTGAGTGAAAAATGGCAGCTGTTCTAAACTGCAAACATTCTAAACTGCAAATTTCAGAAAAATTTGAACGGCTGTTATTTTTTATTCAATTGTTTGGATGAACTTTTGATCTACAAACTTTTGGATTTATATTAAATTTTTTTACCTTTAAAGGGATGTATGTGCATATCATCCTTTGCTTATATTTAAACATTTCTTTTGATTCCTAGCGGGCTATCCCAGGGGGTAGCATAACACTGTATAATGTGTAAAAATGATTTTTTTGCCCAGTAACTTTATGCTATGTTTTGTAGCTCTATATGTAGTTTTTTATTATGTAACCAGTCTGGGATTTTTTGGCACCCTGTATATTGGCCGTGTCGGTATTTACCTTATGTTAAGTTTTAGTTCAATCAATTCCGTAGTTTTGCGTTTAAGTTAAACAAACATACACTTTATAATTTAAAATGTTTAAAGAATCATTCAGATGTACATGTTGGTTTAGTGTGATTTCTTTTGTAGATTATAGTGCACAACAGAAATGCCAACATTATGTATTGCAGGCAGGTGGTGATAGCAGGGCTACATCCCAAGGCAGAGTACCAACAAGTAGCTCTCGTGAGGTTGGTAGGCATGATGCTGCTGGTGTTTGTACAGAAACACCACTACAACTACATACGCAATGCAGCTTTTGAAACTGTCGGCACTGGGATAATGGGCAAAATGGTAAGTTTAGAAATTTATTTTATGGTATTCTTTACTTTTACCTTAAGGTGTTCAGGAATCTTAGTTTAATTAGGTAAATGGACTGTTGATAGAACTAGATGCTCCATCCCCATGTAAAGTTGTCACTAGTTTTCTAATCAAAATGAACATAGTTGAGGTGAGCCACCGACAGATTGCGCCAATGTTAATTACTGATTTCCGTCACATAATATGCAAACTTTCTAACCAAGACAAACTGCTAGGATGACTTTTTGTAAACTTTAGCATCTGTTGTGTCACGTGTATTATCTCAGTAACCAAAATATGCAAGGAAATAACATTTTTAGGCACTGAACCTGTAAATAGCTCTCTCAACACTAGCGTCTCATTTTCCTGATCCGAAACTGATGAGAACCTTTTCTGCGAAGGAGTGGGGGATTGTGGGAGAGCCCCTCATGTCGATTTAAGAAACATTTTAAATTAAATTTTTAATTTTGTAGTTATAAAATTAACATTTTTCCATAAAATTAATTTTACAATTTAAGATTAAACTGGAATAACCTAACCTAACCAACCAAACTTGCTGATAATATAAAAGTATTCATATTTAAAGGGAATTAAAGAATTTAGCTAGCTGTTTCAACGTTTCAACAAAAAGAGTTGGTTCTATGTTATGCAAAAGCAATAAAAATTTACAAGATTTTCCAACAGCAAAAGACCCCAAAAGAGGCAAAATGTAAGGTGTTTGGTGCAGCACTATTATTTTTTTCATTATTTATGAAAACAGCTAATTTGAACCAAGCAGCAACAAAAAAACTGTTATACACAATGAGAACTGTCAAAGTAGGATTGTTTACAGTTATGTTTATGTTTTTAATTTCATGAATAATTTGTGATATTTTGCAAATTTTTAATAATCTATCTTTCTCTATTGTAGTTGAAGTGGTAAAACAGTATGGCTATGGTACATGTGTAATCCTATAGCATACCGTAAATTTGAGGAAGCAAATTTTCCGTGTCTTCTCACATTGCAAACGCAAAGATTGAGTATAACTGCAACAAACATTTTATACTTATTTGCCACGTACGGGTACTCTGCTAGTAAAATTATAAATCTTAAAGAGATATATAATTTACTTCCAAACTTTCTACATTTTCCTCTACTACACAAATTTTAAGATTTACAAATATTTTTAAGGGAAAATAAAATACCCGTTACAATTCTGTCTTAAACTTAAAATCTATTATTTTCCATCCCCACCTTATGAATGTAAATGTACTTGGTACTGGACAGTTTGGCGTTTTGTTCAGGGCAACAAGGGTGGAGTCAGTGTTAGGTTTGAGCTTCACAACACGTCCCTGTGTTTTGTCAACTCCCATCTTGCGGCTCATGTTGAGGAGTTTGAGAGACGGAATCAGGACTTTCACGATATCTGCTCCCGCACCAGCTTCTCCACGTTCCTGCCACCGAAAGGCATCAAGGATCACGAGTGAGTAAAATCTGCTTGCTTGTAAATTTTATTCATCATTTGCAGTGATTGAAGCTCTTTAATTTTCTTCCTACTGTAAGGTATCAAGTATTCAAGAGTGAAAATTCACTAGCTCAACAACTTGAAAAGCAATTAGATAAATTTGTCTTTTATATCTATGCTAGAGTTATATGTACATTTTTCATTGTGGGAAACAGTCATAGTAAACTAATCTAGATGTTGAATACCTTTTTGCCAACGTAACCCTAGGTAGACTTAATGGCTACCGGTTTCGACACACTTAGACGTGGTTTTCGCTCCTAGGCTTGACAATGACACCATAAGTGTGTCGAAACCAGTAGCCATTAAGTCTACCAAGGGTTACGTTGGCAACATGGTGTTTAACCTCTAGAATAGTAATTGTTAAGTAATCCGGAAGGCAAAACCTCAGAAATGTCATAGTAAGTTATTTGTGACTCCTAATAACCACTGTAATGTTTGCTGAAAAAAATGTAATGCTTGAGTTGTGCTCTTTAAAGGTATAAGAATTTGTGCACATAAGAAACAGTTAAAAATAACACAAAAATAACTGTTGGTGGGACTAATTCGACGTCCAGCCTGTCACCTAAAGACTTTGCCATTATTATACATCTAAATTTAGTGCTCAATTTTTGCTTCATCAATCTATAAGTTTTATAATTTGAGATCCTAATCAAATTAATCTGATTGAGGGTAAGAAATAATTTAATAATGAGGGATTAATCGTTGACAAACTTTAAAGATAAATTAATTTTAATATTCATAGTTTTTTTCTATTATTTTTTCTAGGTTGCTAGGCTCTATCCAAGGCCACACTAAAAACAGGCCGTAGTGCTCGTCTAGCATGACGTCACGATAGAAGACGGCAATGACGTAATGTTTGCCGTTTGTAATCAGCTGCTTGCTTTAATCTTTCCTTGGAAAATAAATAAATACCTACGTCATTACCGTCTTCTATCGTGATGTCATGCTTGACAAGCATTACGGCTTGTTTTTTTTAGTGTGGACTTGCTCTAGCCGGGGATTGTTTTTCACATTATTTCAAGCTAGACCTACGGTTTGTGGCATTATAACCTAGATAAAATCCATTATTGATTTTGCGGATTTTAACGTGGGACATCAGGGACCAAAGTACCGCGTTCTACCACTAAACCATTTTGCTCCTACAATCATAGTTAACATGAATGCCTACTACTACAACACTGTTGGTTGTGGAAGGTGTCAAAGGTAATAAAATTAAAAACTCACTAAACAATTTCTGTGTTAGCCAGGTGTATTGGCTGGGCGACTTGAACTACAGGATAACAGAGTTGGAGCCTAACATAGTGAAGAAGTATATAGAGCAGCAGAACTACCGACCAGTGTTGGAGTACGACCAGTTACGGCGACAACATCGGGAGAAGGCGGTGTTTGTTGGATACACGGAGGGAGACATTGCCTTCAGACCTACGTACAAGTATGACCCCGGCAGTGACGACTGGGACTCTAGGTGAGATGCTGACAACATTTGTTTGTTACTTTCTCCCCCTATACATAGTATATATTTTTTTGTCCTTGGACGCTAGGCACGAGCCCGGGATTGTTTTTCACATTACTTCAGGCTAGACCTAGGGGTTGCGGCATTATCACTTAAAATCCATTGGTGACTTGGCGGGATTTTAACCCTGGTCCTCAGGGACCGAATTCCCACACTCTAACCACTACACCAGCTCGCTCCCCTATACATAGTATATGGAGAAAGTATTAGTCTCCATAAACATTTTCAAGTTTGAGTTTTGGGTGGATGTATTGGTTTTTGGAAAAAGTGGTTTTCAATGTCTGTGTGTATGTGTACACATAGCACACCGTGGTCAGATTTTGGTGAAATTTGGTAAGTGGGTTGGAATTTTTGTGCAGGCCTTTTTAATTTTTTTGAAATTTAGATTTTTAATGGCGTTTTTCTTATTAAAACCCATAAAATATGGGAAAATTGGATTTTTTAAATTAAGATTCATAGCAGTTATTGTATGTTTAGACAACCTTATTCTAAACATAACTTCTGTACCGGTAGTCATATTTAGTAGATATTTAGTTTTTTTCCAAGTTTTTAACAGTTAATTCACAAAATATACCTAAATTAATAATTAAAACTTAAATAACTGTTTGAAACCAATTACTTCTTTTCCTTCGAGATAATTAAACGTCAATCATGTTTTTCTGGTAAATTTCCAATAATTCCTAATCAAAAATGAACATGGTCAAATTAAAAAAAAGTTCACTGTTTCACATTTAGTGAGAAGAATCGAGCGCCAGCATGGTGTGATCGAGTGCTATGGAAGGGGGAAGGAATCAGACAGATTGAGTACCGCAGTCATCCAGTGTTAAGGATAAGTGACCATAAACCTGTCAGTGCAGTCTTCTCATCAGATGTAAGTTAGAGGGGACAATGAGCTAAGTTCATTATATTTAGTTTATCAAACACCTAATTGGGAAATATTTTTGAAGAAGCCTCAAGCTATTTCAAATAATTTTTTTTCTATAATGATTGAGCTATGATTGCATGCGCAGTGCATACCTATTAAAAAAACCCCTCATTAATAAGCTCTGGTTGTAATTTTTAAATTTATTTAGCAGGTTTAATTTCAACACAAAAGTAATTTATTTGCTTCTAGAGTACACTATTTTTTTCCATTCAACATATGTAGTTAAAAATTCTCCTTTTGTTTACTTGTGTAGGTGAGGGTGATTGATGCTGTCAAGTTTCGCAAGATCCACGAGGACGTCATGAAGAAGTTGGACAAACTGGAGAACGAGTTTCTACCTCAAGTCATGGTCGACAACACGGAGATCATATTTGACACTTTGCGATTCCTCGAGGCACAGACTAGGGAGCTCATCATTGCCAACACAGGCCAGGTTGAACTTAGACCATATCTTACATTGTACACACTCGGGAAATACAGCTGGTTAGTGATTACAGTTAGTTGAGAACAGCTGTTTGTGTCTTCACGTAAACATTTTTACCTACGACCGGTTTTTTAAAGTAGCCGTTGCAGTTCAGTTTAAGAGTTTAAAAGTTTCACATAACAGCATTGTTTACTTAAATGTTAAATTTTAAATACTCACCATAGTGTGTGTCCCTGATTCAAGAATTGAAAATTGTCACTTAAGGTCCAGCCTAATGATACATTATTGGCATCCTATTTTGTTTTTAAGACAAGGATTAAAACTATGAATGGTTTTATCTGAAGAAACTCTAATTTTTTTTCTGCACTGATCAAATATTTCTATTCTAAATTCATCTTTTTTGGGACCAAACCAAATTTGTTTGTGAATCGATCTTATTGTTTTCTTAAATTACAGGTTCCAGTACAGTTTGAGTTTATCAAGAAGCTAGATGACTCAAATTATTGCAAAGAGTGGCTCAATATCGAACCTAACTCCGGATTCATCATGCCAGGTGATCAATACTAGTCTAGTAGAAGTGGATTTGTTTTGATGCAAATTTTGAAACAATTTTTGAATTTTTAAGCATTTACATAGTGAACTAATGAATGATACTGAAATACAAGTCTCAAATGTACAACATCAAACCATCTCATCTTAATGTGATAACACTATAAAGCCACTTCCTTCAATGATTCAATGTGATACATTTGACGATATCGATAATAATCCTGTAGATTTGCCAGTGTTTTTATGTATCTCTCTTCTCTACTTTCGTTGATTTTAAATTCTAAGATGTTTATGGTAAATATTGTAGATTTATAATCAAATAGTCCACACACAGGATTTTTATTCGTGGAAACTACATTTCCTGAAAATTGTTATTTGTAAATGAATGTATGAATATGTTTTTTGGGTACAATTTTAAACTTGATTTAATAACAGGAGAGAAATGTGACATAAGACTGGAAGTTTATGTAGACAAGAAGTCGGCCTGCAAAATGAACTCGGGACAAGATCAGCTGTACGACATTCTGGTACTGCACCTAGAGGGGGGGAAGGATATCTTCATAACTGTCACTGGTAGGTTATAACTATAAACAAAATAAATTAGTCAAGGAATTTTATTAAAAAGATTTGCTTTCGATGGTTAGAATACCTGCAAGTATTCTTTAACATAGTGATTCCATGGCGGTTTGTGGCAGGCACCTTATGCAGGTATTCAAACCATTTATGTATGAAACGGTAAACCACAGGCTAAAAGATTTTTTATGTATTGAAAAGATTTGCTTTTAATCAGTGGAACAACTTCTCATACTTTGTAGGCTTTTAAGTCAACAATAAAATATGGAATGAGTTGTCTTTGAAGAAGAAGAATTCTGTGCCTTGACAAACCTGGATGGAGGCATGAAAAGATTCTTCTAAAACATAGCGAACTTATTACCATCTCAAAGCAGATTATGTTTGAACATTATTCGATGACAAATACTTTGAATTGAAAAGCTAATCATCATAAAGCAAGAAAAGAAGAATATCTCTATGCGTAGATTGACACAATTTTATTCCTTTAAAGAAACAATGCAAAATAAACAAGTAAACAATGAACTAAATTTTTGAAATCAAAATGGACATATTGTGTAGGAGAAGTTTCTTAACTCAACTCAATTGTTTGATATTCCATCCTAAGTATGCGTTTTCCTGTTTAAAGGAACCTATGAAAGAAGCTGTTTCGGATCCTCCATCGAAGCGCTGGTGCACATGAATGTTCCAGTTCGGGAGATTCCTGCTGGAAAAATCATTGAGTTGGTAAGCAAGCCTTTATAGAATGACTGTGGGAAAAACTAATTGTCATCACTCTATTAAGTATAAACGTTTATCTAATCTTTTTCTTTAATGTTACTGAACAGTTTGAAGGCAGTGTTAGGGCCCAAAATTGTTAGTATTTTTTTTGTCCTAGGACACTAGGCACGAGCAAGGGATTGTTTTTCACATAACTTCAGGCTAGATCTAGGGGTTGCGGCATTATCACTTAGATAAAATCCATTGGTGATTTGGCAGGATTTGAACCTGGGACCACAGGGACCGAAGTCCTGCGCTCTAACCACTAGACCAGCTCGCTCCCCCAAAATTGTTAGTATTGGCTAGTGTTGTCTTTGCAGTATTCTAAATTTAAAATTTCCAAAGTTTGTGACTATACTACAAAAACAGTGTAGCACTAAAATGTTGTATGAATATTGCTCACACTTTAAATCATGTAGACCCAATCTTTGCCTAAAAATTTGCTTATGATTCTGCCCTGCCTTCTAAGTTACCGTGTCAAGTTTATAAAAAGTATTTTATTGACTTGTTCGTGCAACATCGGTAAAAAGTTTAACTGTAGAGTAACTTTGCAAGCAATACAACAGCTCGTGACATCTAAGCTGCCACTTGGCCGATCACTACAAGCATCTAGTTCAAAAACATCTTGACCCGTCATGCGGGTTGCGTCAACTGTCCTCGCGACTCACGTGAAGGCGCTCAAGTACATAATACACGAGGAGTCAACCCCAAGTGGTAGAGGAAATGTTTGCAGTCCGGTCTTTTCCTTATTTCCACCCGCCTACACTGCCCGCGCTAGGCCAAGTGCCAGCTTAGGTGTCACGAGCTGTAACTGCTAAGTATAAATTTAACTCAAATAAAATTTCTGTGATTGGAAATCTCAGTAACAGTCCTTTTATCAAAACCAGGTTTTGGACCGTTCCCTTGCAAAAAGTAAAAAAATGCCACTGGCCTAAAAAGACACAAAATAAAATACCCCCGCCACAGCAAACCTGCAGACTAAGCGAATTTCCATTTGATTTACACTGAAATGTCTACTTAAAAATATAACATTTATTCCCGATTTAAATAGAATTAGTTTAACAAGTACTTAGGTTTGCTGCATCAGGGAGGTAAAACTGTTTTTTTTTATGTTAATAGTTAGTAAGAAATAAAAACATTTTTCAAATTTGATCAAAATATGTTCATAAACAAGCAAACTACAACAGTTTACTTATTCTCCATAAGAATAACATGGGAATTTTAAATTTACAATTTTTTGGAATTTTCTCCGTAACCATTAGGCGCATAATAACGCTTCAATATACTAAATTATTTGTTTTTTTAAGCTCTACAAAATGGTTTGGAAAGAAATTGCTAAATTTTATGTTTTTTGGGTCAAAAATGCGAAAAACCTATTTTTACCCCATAAAACCCCCCGTAAACCCCCGTTCCCATGGTCCGATCATGCTGGATCGCGAACTCGTTCGAATAAACGTAGGTTTACACGTTTGTACCGAATTTCATCAAAATCGGATCATTTTTGCTCGAGTTATAGTGCTAACGGACACATATATATATATATATATAAATATATAAATATATAAATATATATATATATATGAATTTGAACGGATGGTGTTTTTGGTCTCTAGGGACCTCGAAACGAAAAAAAAAATCGGTCCCGCGTCCAGGTCTTACCATGAGTACTACGGTAATAGCTTATTCCCTATATGGGAAATTCGCTAAAAAAAATAAAAAAACACCAATTTAACATCACTAACATTAACTTTAGAAAAACTATTTTTCCTGTTATATTTTTTAAATTAAACTAATTACTTATAAATATTGTGGAATTTGGCGATAAATTCAACCAAGATTCAAGTCAATTTGAAACTGACTTCCATTACCCTTTGCAATTGTATTCCAGCTTCTGGTCTTGGTAGCGTTAATTCTTTGTTTTCATTCAGGAGAACAATAAGGGTGAAGGCCTGAGTGGGTCGCCTCCGTACATGGTGCCTAAGGAGATCTGGTATCTGGTAGACCATTTGTATCGGCACGCCTTGAAGACGCAGCACCTGTTTGAAAACCCGGGGCTTCACAGCGAGCTGATACAGATCAGAAATTGGCTTGATGTGAGCCCAAACGATCCGTTACGTATCCTTTTGTAACTGACTGTTGATTGTTTGGATTTACTTATTGGTGTTTTTATCATGGTTTAAATCTTATCCTTCTAAAATCATAAATTGGTAAATGTTAGGGTTAGCTATCATGATTCATTATAGCTTCTTTAATTAGAGTATGGGATGCATTTTTTTTTTTACAGTAAAGAGAAAAGAAGGCCTATTATCAATCCTGGAGGCAACAGTAATAAAGAGGAAATATTTTATTACTGCCTTGTGTATATGATACAAATATTGAGGTGTTCTTAATATAGTATTTAAAGTATTAAAGCATAAAATTTAATACAATTATAATATATAACATAACAACACTAGGCCAAGAATAAAACTTTAGAAAATGTTAAAAAAATTAAAAAAATTAAATATTGATGCCCTTCCATACTTGGGCTTTGTTCACAAGGGCATTGGCGGCTCCCCGACCTATACTCAGACATAGGGTTCAATGTGTTAAAACTTTATACTTTTGTATGAAATGGTGACCATACATAGTAGGTATTTTGAGCCAAGTATGAATGGAGATGAGTGTAGGATAAGTGGCGCGATCTTGTAGTCTTGTTAGTGACTAAGGCCGACATTCCTTAGACACAGCTGTTAATTAATAGCCCATACAGCTAATCGCAACTAAGGGACCTACAGTTTATAGTGGAATCCGAACCACATTTTTTTGCCTTGGTATATACGAATTGGTCTAATTATCAGGATAGCACTGCGGGTAGTCGTATTACTCACTTGTGCGGACGTTAATCCACACCAGGGAGTATCACATCCACAGTGCAAGTCTATAAATATTTACAATTCGTGACCTCCTAGTAGCTGGATTACAGGACGATGCCACCCGTCCCAGTCAATACAAATACCGTACAATACTGTACAAATATCCAATATGTACAGCTTTTTTTACAACTTTATAGGTAGTCAAATCAAATCAAATCAAATCATGTTAATTAGCACATAAACGTACAGAGGTTATAGATAAATGCACAGGTGCTTCGTCATTTTTCTTATAGCCTAATATTATATAATGTCCTTTCTTAAAATGTATTTAGTAATACTAAATAAATAGTTGTTTAACATTTGAGGAACTCTTTGAATAGACTAGCCAAAAAGTTTAATAAAAAAGATAATGTCAAGCTTAAAACTAAATAACAGGATTTATAGAATTTCAGAGTCAGTCAACAGAGCTTTTATTAATTCTGTATGATTGAAATGACACACACAGTAATGACTTAAGGACCTTAACACATTGATCAGCTGGAAGTGTACACTCTGTCGCAGAGGCTCTATTGTTGCTGTTAGAGTCAACGGCAGAACCCATCATTCCGTATAACTTACAAAATGGCTGCTTGGGCGCATCATCCAACTACCTCGCGTGCAAACAGGTAGATTCGGTTTAAAAAAAATGTTGTGTTAATTTAAGCGATTTTATTTTACATTTTTGTAAGGAAACAGCCCATTCCTTGGTCTTAAAAGTATTTGATTTTGACCTGTAAGAAAGCAACAACAATAGTACTACAATTAATTGGTTAATGTGTTATCAAACTAAATTTTGTTTTAAAGGAAAGCTCGGTAACCTCTACGCTACTACGTCTGGTTATAACGGTTTGGGAAATACGACAAGTAGTAGTGATCCCTTATCACTAGCCTCTACATGTGAAATGATTCCTTCACTCTCCAATGTGTCCAATTCCTTGTTCACTTGGTCGATTAAACATGTGATATATTTTGTTCCTCAGTAAAAATAGGTTTTGTGCCGTTTCGAAGCTTTAATAACACTTTGAAGTCCGAAACGCATCCAATTTTCTATTAGAAAATGTTGGAAAAAGACTTGAACCCTCAGCAGTCTAGAGTCTTTTGATTTGAGAAATTCAGGTGCTTTGATTTGTGCCGTTATTCAATTTCTTCACTTGGATTCCCATGGCTCTATCCATTGACGTGCCTAGAGAGCTTAATGTCCTGTTGGAACAACGTGGAGTTCATATTTGACGTATCCACAGTAAGAAACATTTATTTTAACTCTGAGACTTTCTACTATAATATTGTGTATTAAATTTACTCAATTAAAAAAATAAAATACCGGTTGTGACCTCGGTTATAAAATATTGGATTTTTCAGTTCGTGATGCAGTTACCAGACACCAGTAAAAATGTCTTCCTCTACCTTTGCTTTTTTCTGCAAGAACTTCTCTCACATTCAAGTGAAAACCAACTTGATGGAAAAACATTAGGTAAGTGCTGTTCAGTTTTAAAATTAATATACTGCCTCTACGTTATTTACATTATTAGATTTACTCCTGCTTAACAGCAGGTTGAGAAAGCATTAGACAAGGCTGCAGCTTTTAAATATAACATAGAATCTTTCTAATAGAATCCAATTTGTTAAACTTATTCCTGTAAAATCAAAATGTTGTAGCATGGTTTTGTTAAAAAATCAACTGTCTTTAAGAATTAAAACAGTTTTTGCCAAATAGCCGAGTAATATATCCATCTATCTATACTATTATAAAATTGAGGTGGTGTCTGTCTGTCCGGCTGCCACGACTAAAATACTAAACTAATAATGCCCAAATTAAGCACAAATATTGTCCACATACCTAGGAATGTCATAGGACTATTCACTTCCCTGCGTACCTCTCTGGCTACGCCCCTTGAATGTCCAAAGATTTGAGGTTAGGTTTTCAACAGTATTAATTGGTCTTCATGGAAGCATGAGAAAATTAACAAACTTTGTTTACCTTTGCGTTGACATTTCAATGTAAAACAGTCAGAACTGCTAAATGCTTATTTCACAATTTCAGACAGCTGACCCAAACAAATTTAGGTTTATTTATGGCTTTAGTTATGGAAATTATGTTATTGATATATTTTAATGTAAACTGTTAACAGTAGGGCAATTACAATGTAAATCATACTTTTTTTTAAAATTTTGTGGCTCTTTGTTCATAAATTCAATCTACTTAACAAGTCTTTGGATTAGGTGGTATGGTACATCATCGGTATTTACTCAGGGGAGGTATAGAAGAGGCTACGATGACAGCTGTGGGCTTCTTATTAGCTGAGGGAACGCCATTACCGTAACAAAACGGTCGGTAGCCATCGGCCTCGGTGGTCTAATGGTTAGCGTGCCGGGCTGATATACTGTAGGTCCCGGGTTCGAATCCTGCTGGTAGCATTAACTTTTTGTCCAAGATTTTTTTATTATCAGCAAGTTTGGTTGGTTTGGTTCGGTTATTACAGTTTAATTTTATTATTAAGTCATTACAAATTTTTAATTGAGCAAATTCTAGTTTTATTTAATAAACAGAATTATTTTTCCGATTACTAAACTTTTGTTATATTATTTCTTTATCAGCAAGTTTGGTTAGTTCGGTTAGGTTATGATAGTTTAATTTTATAATTAAAAAATAATAAAATTGAATTTGAGACATTTATAATTTTATTTTATGAACAGAACTATTTTTGCGATTAGTAAACCTTCATTGCCAAAGTGCTCTCTACTACAGCGCTGTTCACGAAGGAATTTTGAACTAAATGCCTCATTCGTACCTCCACTAAGTCAGACCCTACATCATCCTGTTGCGAAGTACAGCAGCCACAGCAGCTAGTTATAAATAGTGATGAAATAAAAATTATTGTAGTTTGCACTTTTTTGCCATAGAAACCGATCAATATTTACCTCCTGAAATTTTACCTCGGAATTTTAAAACCCGATATAAGAGGTAAGTATCTAATCTGAATTAGGCCTATTGTAATCCATATTATGTAGGTTATCTTTGTGCAGAATTTTAGGCTACTTTCTCTAGAGGTTTTTGTATGATGGAAAGACAAATACACACCTAATTTTTACATATATTTGAAGGAGCTCGTAACTAACCTCAAAAATGACAGATTTGGTCACACCAACTTATTTATTTGTTATCCATTAAATTTCTTAATCACTTACATCTGTTACAGCGACCTTGTTTGGGGCTATATTCATGCGAGAACCTCCTCGAAGTAGAAATGTCGGCACCTCTCGGTCAAAGTCCAACCAACAAGAGGCCGATCGCAAGAAGGCTAATTTTGTTTACCATTTCCTTGTCAATGACACTAGTGAACTGGTTATGGGATGCTCGTAAATACTTTTAACCTAAAAATGTATGGTACCAGTATTAACGCATTTCGTTACCCACAAAAGCATTTTGAGATTTTCCCAAAAAACATTTTGGAGTTTCAAGAGTTTTGAGATATCCGCTAAAGCGTTTTGGGAAAGGCCTATCCGAAAGCAGTTTTAAAGATATCCGAATAAGCATTTTTTTTCATTCATAACAGCATTAAATAATTAGATTATCCTAAAAAAATCATTCTTTAACAATGATTAATACCTACTAGACATCATCTGAGTTTGTAGTTTATTTATTTCGTTATTTACTTTTGGGTTTGTGTTTTATTTTTAACTGTTACCAGAGGTAAAAAATGGCAGATGTTCCATAACATTTAGACAGCCTGGAATTTATTTATAAAATAAGTTTTATGGCTTGAGTCGAAAATGTAAAGGTTAAGTTGAACTTCTTACATAATCAGAAGATGTTATATACTGTAGTTACTGTTATAACTACAATATTACCGTTAAGAAGGGTGATCAGAAAATTGTTTTCTGAAGTTGTGTTCCTATAGTTGATGGTGCAAAATGCTAAAAGGTGATTTTCTTTTCTTCTTTAGAGATTTTTCAATCAAAGATGTTGTTAAATTTGTAATATTTACATACCAAAAGAAAACATTCTTGTGGAATATTAATATTATTTCTCAAATACTAGAAATTTTCATGGTAATGTCAATTGCTAAATTTTGTTATTGTTGGAATCAATGATTTTGGTGGATGATGAATCTATTTTGCTACCAACAAATTTTATCTATACACTTACTTACAGGTAATATTTCACTGATTATTTGCAACATAACATCTAACACAATAAAAACCATCTAAAAATTTCATTTATGGTTTAAACTCAAATACAATTAAGGTGAAATAAACTTTTGATCTTAAAAAGCTCATATTTTTTTAGTCTAACATGATATTTTGTAAAATACGGTTCTGATGATATTTGTATAGAACGTAATTTGCTTTACTTATTTTAGTGTTTGTGTTTGAATATTTTAGTCAAATGTATTAATATATGATAGCATATTATTAGAGTAACACACATTGTGTAAATTTAGATATACGTAAAAGCTTGTAATATGAAAGATGTTTGACTCTTTTATTTAGACTGACGGGTTTATAATAGTGTTTGTCAGGGATTTTGTTTATTTATTTAAGAAATTATTAATATCCAATCAATATACATATGTTTATGCATATAAATATAGTAGAGATGTGGTTCTAATTTTTGGACTGACAGGTATAAATGTATGTTTTCTTAGGGGGTTTAGTTAATATTGTTTCCGTGTACAATTGTTTATAACTGCCTACTTTTATGAAATGAAGTATTTTCGGGATGCCAGAATTTTACTATCTAAAGAGTTCTCTAAAGTTATCTAAAGAGAATATAATTACATTTCTTGGAAGGACATATGTTTTAGCATAGACAAATAGAATTATGTATAGACCGACAGCAGTGCTGCCGTTAGCATAAGTTCTGGCGTCCAATGCTAGGAGCGTCGTGTATTTACGTAGCGCTTACACCACGCTCCCAGCAGTGGACGCCAGAACTTGTGCTAATCGTAGCATTGCTGTTGGTCAATATTTAATTCTATTTGACTATGGTTTTAGTTAGCTTACATAAGGAAATTTGTCTACTAGCTTCTAGATGTACAAAACATTTACACAACATTTGTTTATTTATATTTTATCCTAGTGTAGGATTTCTTTAGAGAGCCGATTGAAGAGAAGTGTCAGTTAAAATATCCTAAACTGTAGCTATGCACGGTTACCAACAGTGTGGTTACCATTGGAAATAATAACTAGTCAGTGATGGCTAGTAATGGAATTTGTAACTTGACCATCTCCAATAGTAACCAAAGTAGGGAAAACTGTATGTTATAGAACATTGTTAGTTTTAACCAGGAATGGACGGGATTGTGCTTTTTATTTACCTCGTGATTTTCAAAATTGCATTTTTCTTCCTGTGTAACAAGTTCGTTCTAAAACACTTAAGAAATATTCGTGCAAATATCAATAACGACGAAGAAAATCAATTTCAGTCATAATTGCTCTGTTGTAAAAACCAACAATGGTTAAAAATACACAGGTAAAAAGAGTGTAATGTGTACAGATGAACATACAATCTCATTATGATTATCCAGGATCATGGCACTTTTGTTATTTTCTCCCTAGACAATATGCGTTATTGTAATGTAAGCGCATAGATAAGCTTATAGTTTTTGGATGTAACGAGAAATATTCCCGGTCCAAGGAAATCCCTATTAATTCGAATGTAACTCCGCCAAACAATTGGAGATATACAAATTTCAAATCAAATCAAATTTTATACAAATTTTCCCAAATTTCAGGACTTGTTCATCCTATTCTCATTAATCTACTTTCCGAAAAAGCCCTACACTAAGACAAAATATCGGTACTATCCTGTGTCTTTTATGGGTATCTTTATGTCCTGACTATAGTTTTCTGATGTAAGCTAGTGGAACTCTATTCTTAAAAAAACGCTCCTTAATCAGCCTTATGGCTTGTCCTCGAAATATAACTTAATTGCAAGTTTACAAATTTTCTTATGAACATTGTTGAAGCTACTATCAAATCTCTACCAGTTCTGTAGAATGTAAGCCAATAGAGTAGCTTAATCTAACATACTGTAATCTTTAGCTAAGCTTGATGCTTACGTTCTAGTCTTCAAAGCTTTCTGGTTGTTGTCAGCTTGCTAACCAAATTTACTAGCGCCATATAAAAATAATCCTGGTACAGTCAAACCTTGGTGGTACCAATCTGAAGGGAATCGACAATTGAATTACATCAAATAATTTGTTACTTTGATGTTCCTATTATTGTGGTTTTTATGTTCGTAAACCGTGGGAATTTGTGTTTGTCAAACTTAATTATTCTCAGGTTTAGTCTAGCCCTGTTTGTTATATAGAAGTTCCATTGATACATATGTGTTGGTTTTGGCGTATTTCCCATAAAGGGAATAAGCTATCACCGTAGGTCTCATGGTAAGACCTAGACCCGGGACCGATTTACTTTTTCGTTTTGAGGTTCCCACAGGCCAAAAACACCCTCCTGTGTGTGTGGTATCCGTTAGTAAGATAAGTCAAGCAAAAATGATCCGATTTTTATTAAATTTGGTGTAAACCTACAATTATTTGAAGGAGTTCCTGAACCAGCATGATTCGACTATAGGAACGGGGGCTTATGGGGATTTTTATGGAGTAAAAATCAGTTTTTCCCATTTTAGACTCTAAAAAAAGAAAATCTCACAATTTCTTTTCAGACCATTTTGTAGAGCTTAAAAAAGAAATAATTTATTGAAGCGTTTTTGTATACCTAACGGTTGCGGAGATAATTAAAAAAACTTTAAATTTAAAATTCCCATGTTATTCTTATGGAGAATAAATGAAATAAATGAACTGTTGTAGTTGGCTTGTTTATGGATGTATTTTGATCAAATTTGGCAATTTTGATATCAACATTTCAACAAAAAATACACCTCAATACCTTCCCTGTCTCAGCAGAAAACCTAGGTAGGCCTACTCATTAAAACTAATGTTATTTAAACAGGAAATAAATCTGACAATTTCAGGGAATATTTTAGTAGAAATCCAACCAGGTAAATGGAAATTCGCTTAGTCTGCAGGTTTGCTGCGGTGAGGATATTTATTTTTTACATCCATTTCATGGAAATAAATGTATTTATTTTGGGTTTATAAAATTTGTTTGCATTGAGGTTTCACATCAGCCTTATTTGCTTTGAAGATGTGAAAATTACATTGGATGTTACAGAAAGTTGAAGGGGGTACAAGATATAATATTATATATTTGTTATATTGGTATCTACCAAGGTTTGACTGAAAAACATCCTTCATCACAATCATAGTACAAACACATACATAATAGCTTCAAAGCATAATAGAAATACTCATAGTAGTTAGTAGGAGATCTCGTTAATAAAATTAAGTAATTTATTTAATCTTTAGTAAATTTCTGTAGTAACTATAGTGGAAGCTCATTAACTTATGAAGATATGAACTGAAATTTTCAAATTTTAATCATTATTGGTTAATTTTTTTGCTTTCACAAGCTGGACTCAATTTTTCATGTTCAGGTTTGATTGAATTGTTGATTATTTCTGTATGTCAGTTTTGGTTTGATCTGTCGATGTTTTTAATTTAATTTGTTGCACTGCATAAAACCCCTGGAAAAATACCACACTAAAATACTGCAGCAACGACGGTTTTCAATGCATTTATTACTCGACCATTTTTTTCAAATACTGAACTAATTGAATGCTATTAAATTAAAAATATTATTTTGGGACAGTCAATAGATTTTTAATTTTGTAATATTTGTTTACTGGGTAATAAATAATATTAACATTAATAATTTTAATGTTATGAACGAGACACTAAAACTTAGCTATTCCATTTATAGTAATGTAACCTATCAAGTAAATTATTGTTAATACCAGCTTTGTAGTTATCCAAATTTTTGCTAACGCCGCAACTGCAACTAGTTTCAACTTTGGCGAAGTCATCGTTCTGGAGGATGTCATGATCACTCCATAACTTCATTGTATCAAAATTAATAGCTATCGCATTCAGTTTTCTTTTGTTCGTTACAAAGGTTTTTATCTTCAGAGTTTCTGTTGTCGAGGAAAAAATAATTAAATTCACATAATCGTTCAGAAATGAGTCTCCATTGTAGTTACTTAATAATCCATGTTTTTTAATGGATAAATGGCACAGAACACTCTATGCACTATATAATAATTGTATTGATAAAATATAGTAAAATAGTAGAGCATAATATCATCAATGACTTGCCTCTGCATTAGGCCTATATTGAGCTTCTTCTAAATTTAATTGATTTAATTTAAAAAGTGTACAGGGTATTCTTCCTGTGTTGTACAAGGCAATTCATATACTGTATTTAATTTTTTGACGGTAATTAATCACTTTCATACTTTGGTTTTTGTTGGTAAATATTTTTGTATTCAATTGCTGGAACATAATAT